AAAAAAATTTCCTCTAAGATAGAGCAAAGTTCACTGTTAAAAAGCATTCAGATTCTTTTCGAAAATTTTACTTCTAAAACTTCCGATTCTTCTAAATTCGAATTTATCTTACTTTTAAAAACCTTCTGTTTAATTAAAACGAGTTTCTAATCAGCCATTAATAATAACAATAAATACTAACAACTTTAAGAAAAGAAGAGGGGAGACTTGGAACCTCAATGCGGAGGTTTCTACGCTATGCCACATGGATATTTGCCGTTTTCAAATCGAAACTGATTTCAGTCTAAGGAAAGAATGACCAAAATAGTTACAACTAAGTTCACGAGAGATAATGGACTGTATCAAACCTTTATTAATAACATTTCTAAGTACAAAAATACGAAACAGCAACAATGCATCATATGTTTATTTTGGCTTAAGATTCTTCAATTGTTATGCTTCTGGCCATCTCGTACAAACATATTAATTATCTGGAATGGTTCGTTAGAATATATCACTGGCATTACAGGAACTTTATCAAAACGACGTTTCTGGGTCTGAAGTGGACAGGAAGTACTAGTGTTACAATATTCATTCATATCTCTCTTGATTTCAGGCCAACAGAAGGAATATATCAATCTTTCGGCAGTCTTCTTGGTTTGAAGGGAACGTGCCCATAAGCTGCAATAACACAAGCCCCAATTTTTTTTTCTGTCTTTCGGAGCAACTAACTAATGAACCCATTTTCTCCTAAAATCTTATCTTTTTCGTAAAAAAGGTTATCAATAAGAATGAAATTATTACTTTCTCTTCTTAGGATCTTGCCAGCATTCTTCTAGAGATGAATCATTTATTTATTGAATCCAAAATATTTCCAAACCTGAAACCGAGCCATTTTTGTCTTGTGCTATCTTTATCATCATTCTTACCCGTCTTTTAATGTAACAGCATTCTTATTGTTTTCTTTAATAAGGTTTTCTCTGTCATGGTTAAATATTTTGTCAAAATCTTCAATTTCAAAAAAAGGCATTTCAATAAACATTTAATAATAATATTTTCAGTTTTTGCATTCAAAATTAAACTTTTGTTTATAACCTCCATTAAATCGTTAAGAGCACTTAAAATGACAAATGTAAATCATTGCATAACCTATCAACCATTGCACATTATAAAAATAGCTGATATAAATTCATAATCTTCAAAAACTTTGATTGATTAATGAGGGACCTTTAAAATTTGTTTGAATGCTGACGTCAGGATAACATTTCCATGCGGTGCATATCTTTCTGGTACAATACCAGCCTTAACAACAGTTAATTCTGTGCCTCTGTCTGCTACTGCATTAATTTATCATCACAAATAAGTTTAACAATCAGTAAGTTAGTGATTAAATCACCTCTAGTTTCTCGGAATAAATTAAAATATTTAGAAGAAATTGCAGTTATGGTATCAGAAATATTCATAATTTTTTATTTATTAAACTTTTTCTTACCTTCGTGCAATAATATGTTATAATGTTTAATTACAATTTGAACATTTCAATTGAAAAGGACAATTTTTTGTTCTGCAGTACCTTTCGAAACAAAGAATATACTGATAAGAATCTTTTAAACTCTTTTTCCTTTCTTTTGGTGACATAACACATTTTTCCGAAATGTGATCTTCGCTTCCACAAAATAAACATGCAAATAGTTGAGCAGTTGCAATTTTGTTTAGATTAATGAAAAGACTGGTCCCGATAGTCGTGTGCAGGTGTTGAAAAAGTTACAAGTGTGGAAATTGTTTGTTTTTCATTTTAGGAAATGAAATGCATTTTACAGAAATTTGCATAACTCTTAGAGCAAGATAATTTTAATGTAGTCCACACACAATTTTCACCTTCCTGCATTAAAATTTTCATCATTTGTTTTCTGATGCATTAAATAAAGCAACCAAAAAAGAGATCACAAAGCAGAGGAAGGTCATGACCGAACAGCATCTGCGATGGGGTACAGCAGAAGTCGAGGACACTACTGTGATAGGTCAGTCAGAACAGTGGTAATTTCTTGTCCCAGTCCTTTTGGTTTCTAGACACCACCAGCAAGATATTATTAAGGATCGTTTGACTAACCATGCCGCCCGACTAGGGATGTAAAGGTGGCGTTCGAGTTTTCTCGATGCCGAATAGCTTGAAGAGTTCTTTAATTACAGCCGAGATAAAAACTGCTTCCTTGATTGGAATGTAATTCAAGAGAGACTCTGAACCTGAAAATCCAATACTGTATCATTACCTCTGCTACTGTGACAGCCTCTTGATGAAGAATAGAAAATGCTTCAGGCCACTTGGTGAAGTAATCAATGACAACAAGGATGTAATTGTTGCCATTAGAAGTTAATAGCAAAGGTCCAAGAATACCAATATGTTCAAAAGGCGCTCCTACGTTGTAACATCTCTTGGTTGCGTTTCTTCGGTCCTTTTTGCGTCTTAATGTCCAGCACAAGTGTAGCATGATTGGCACCATATTGTATATCATCCCTTGCATTACTCCAGAAGGAGCGCTCTCGAACTCTATGCAAAATTTTTATTATTCCAAAGTGGCCTCCTGTAGGGCTGCTATGTATATCTTTAAGGATATCCGTAATCTGGGATCTTGGAAGTATCAGCTGCCATCGATGCTGTCAGAGTCAAGACAGCTGTCAAGCAACAAGCTGTCAGATTCTTAAATAGGTCATATCACTAGACTGAAAGAGGTAGGTTGGGCAAATCGGAGAATCATTCGTCAAATGAGTTGAAGCGATGCAGCAATTTGAAGATGCTGGCAATAATGGACGGACAATGACAGATTCAGCATCATAGTGGTAGCGTCACCTTAGGGCTAATGAAGATTGGGAAGGGAGAGTGACTGTCAGGTCAGCTGTCTCAGCGCCTGATTCATCGCTATCAACCATCAGACTCGCACATAAGTATGACCATTCACAGATGGCTGATAGAGTGGAATCTGCACTCGTTCCAACCATTACGCCACCTGCACGTGGTTGAGCTAGATTACAGTGGTGCTTGGCTCGATCAGGTTGGAATGATGCTGATTGGGGATGTATAGTCTTTAGCGGCAAATCTCACTCACAACTGCATTGTGACAATTATCGAAGATGTGTCTGGAGACGTCCAGAGCAGCGTGCCGATCCTGCTTTCACTATAGCACACCACACAGGCCCCCAACCAGGATTTATGGTCTGGGGTGCCATTTCCCTTGATAGCCGGCGCTTTTGGTCATCATTAGAGGTACACTTACAGCACAACGATACATCGATGATATTCTGAGACCTGCTTTGCTACTGCTTCTTTTGCAGCACCCTAGCCTTATTTTTCAGCAAGATAATGAGAGACCACATACAACACATGTTGCTATGAACTGTCTTACAACTTGTCAAACACTTCCTTGGTGAGCCAGATCTCTCTCCCATCAAGCATGTATGGGATATGATGGGAAGGCGACTGCATCTACCAGGGAATGTTGATGGCCTAGCCTGACATTTGGAGCAAATTTCGCAAGAAATTACTACAGGAGAACATCCGGGAGCTTTATCAGTCTAGCTCGTTACTTTGTAATTATGTTAACTCTAAAATAAATAATTCAATTGTTCTGAAATTTTAATAATTTTCTATTCTGTACATAATTTTCCTATCCACCAATTTTTATCTTCATTGGACAACTATTTGGTGCATCGTTTCTTTTTGTTATAGAGTGTATATTCAAATTTCATGTGGTACCTCTTCATACAGTAAAATGTTTTATGCAATATCATACAAAAAGCTCTGTGCTAAATACAATAAGTGAAATAACTGGAACAGAGTAAGGTCTCCTCAGTGAATCAAACCAAAGGGCTCAGGGACAATTTTTTGCATACTGTCTATGTGTCTTGAAATAGTGCGAAGGGATAATAATGGTAAAACATGAACATAGGTACACATCAAATACATATACAATACAGAAATAAGTGTACTTTTTTGTTCCATACATTGCTTTTGCACATTATTATGGATTATGTTGATTATTTTTGTATATAATTTATAATTTTATCAAGATTATACTTCTTAAAAAGTAGTAATTTTAAGCATAATTGAAAATTTTTGTTTCACAGTTAAAACAATGTTTTACAATCGAACACTGAAAGTTTAAAATAAATAAATACAAAAAGCAAAGATGTGAACTCTTATACTTGACTGGAAAAAAAAGGGGAGGTGGGGTAGGGGAACAACCTATCGGGAAAATATGTGGCCATTGGGATATATTGGAGGAAAAATTATCCAGGCTTTAACCACTTGCGCTACTACGACTAAACTTCACGGTTGTGGTGTTGTGCGCTACAATATAACAAGCGGTAAAGTGTCTCATTTACGCCGCTCCGCGTCTGCAGTGCAATCCAGAGCTGTAACTCGAAAAATAAACAATCTCGTTGTTAGGTGACATGTGCACACATTATTTTCACTTTTGCGATAAATGCAAAATGATGTTCGACATGGTGTTCACGTCACTCGCGGTTCGAGATAAAAGCATCTCGATGTGCGCGGCACATCTTTTTAACGCAAGTGGTTAATGTGTTAATAGACGTCACTAACTAATAATATTCAACTATCTCTCAGAAATCAGTAGCTTTCCTTTTTGCATTTTTCAAAGAATGAAACAATCACTCTACCATATTCCATCATCCCATAAATATTATATCAAACTTAGGCTGAGGACTCACTAAATATCTTTTATGCAAAAAAACATTTTATAAAATTAGTGGACTGATGTTTGGGGGTGGGGAGGTACGCACATGTCATCCCTGCTTCTGGCTAACAGAATACAACTGAATTAGAGGCATTATAAATTTCATCAACTTTTCATGCTGCAAAACTTCTAAATTTGCAGTAATGAAAACATTTCTTTCAGCATTGTTAAATGCATACATTGGTTGAAGGGAAGCTTAATATAAAAAATAATTGAATTAAAATCCTATCCCAAATTCCGTTTAAGGATGAAAATAAGAATAACTAGTTTGGATATGGACAATCTATTTATTAAATCATATTTCTTTATTGCTAAACTACTTACAATAAAATATACAAACAGTATAAAGTTATACATTTTTATCACTGATCACAAGATATATACAAGTCAGGAAGCATGAATGCATAGAATATTTTGATTTGTTTATACTCATGTACAACTCATGAGATTAAAAATATCCAAGTGGGCTGTAAAAAATTATTTTCATTCATTTGGTATTAAGCTGATAAACATTTTTGAATTAATTTCAACATTTAATTTCAACATTAATACCACTTCTCAATCTTTCATAAAATAAATTACTTGCACTCTTAATATACATGCTGAATAATTTACAAGATACATAAATATAACTTTCATTATTAAAGTACTTCAGAACAAAACACTTGAAAAAATAGAGGAAAACTCAATATATGAAGCAGTTCAATGCTTGGTATTTTTCTGAAGAGAAGAAATAAAAACTTAAATGCTATAATTCATCTGTACATAGGTCTACAAAATCAGGACAGCTGATAGGTCTTTCTTATCACTTAAATGCAACCAAGTATTTTTGAAAGCACTCATGATTCTGTTAAACGAATCTTGATCATACACAGCACAAGCAGTATTGGTCCTATTGAATGGCTCTAAAAAAAATTAAGCAGGTAACACTATTTAAACATATATAAATAATTCATAAATCTATTTTACAGTTTATAAATTATATAAATTCATAAATTCAATTATATAAATAATTCATAAATCTATACTACAGTTTATGAATTATACAATATAAAATCAGTAATCGATATGTGTTCTGATCAACAGATTAAAATTTTATGAATTACGGATTCTCTTTCCATCTTATTTTAAGTCACAGGAAAAATTAAAACATTAAAACTTAACTTTTGCTCATTTACTGATACATATTTGCCGTGAAAAGTTATATGAAAGAAATTTAATTCTTTTAGCCAGAAGGATAATTTTGATGGATTAAAAATTAAAGAATGATTTTGATGTAAAAATTTTTTTACCTCTTTTTTTTTTTTTACCCCCTTTACAAAGCTGTCATGTTGTTTTAAATAATTTTCTGTATATCATGCGGGGGAGGGGGCAGGACAGTTAAAGGAAAAGATTTAGCTCAGCCATTATTGCATTTAGGGTCCGCTTTCCAGATAAATGAGTATTATAGAATATGATCTTAACAATAATATACTAAAACTTAAAATCAGACAAAAATTCAACTACATACTGAGTTTTTTAAATTACCTTTCAAGTTTAACTTCCTTTGGCCAATATATAATTTTCAGTGCACAATTTCAAACTAAATTTTGTACTTGACCTCTCTATTTAGAATTTGCTTTTCAGATAAATGAGTATTACAGAAAGTCAGCTCAGCAATAAGCTACTGAAATTTAAAACTAAGACATAAATTTAACTACATACTGACAGTTTTTTAAACTACCTTCAACTGTTTTTGCCAATATACAAATTCAAATTAAATTTTATGTTTAATCTCTCTAACTTAACCTAAATAAAAGTAAAATAGTACATAAAACAAAAGTGGCCAAGTTCAAAATGAGTCACCCTGCCCATAAATAACTCACTTTGACAAGAGACAGAAAAGGGATACAGGCACACAAAATGTCCATTTATATATAATTTATTTCTGACTACTACTTCTTTTTGATTCAGGCAGACACTCGCCTGCTCAGCAATGGCCGGAAGTGGGGGGCCATTTTATTGTGAAGGCACATAATAAACAGCTACCTTTGCCACCTATGAAGAGACAGACAGTTACAACCACGCTTTTTCCTGGATTCGAACGCGGGCCGTTTGGTACCATAGTAGGCTACCCTAATCACTATACCATCTGGGGACCTTATTTCATTTATAAAAATGCATAGTTGCAAAACTATTTCTTCCTGTGTTTTGGCTACAAATAGTTCAAATTCACTACTTTTGGAACATAACTTTGTCACTTTTTAATCTTCAGATTTGGCAATACTGGTTCCATGTTTAGGAAGTCATTTTATTTAACAGAAGACTAATTTGCTGACATTTATGCTGCGCTGCACACCCTTACTCTCTGACGTAAAGCAGGGCATAAAAATATGGTTTGTGTTACCATGGCAGTTGTTAGGAAATAAATGAAAATGAAGATTTGGATGAATTATTTTTGTGTGTTTTGATGATTTGTATTGACTATAGTTTCATGTCGATTTTGGTGCATCATTCTGGAATCTTCATAGGAGAACCCAATACTGTCATCATGTTTTATAAAATAGAAACTTATTCTTCATAAATTGTTGTAACGGCCAAAGAAATTTTTGGTTGTTGCAAGGTGGCATGATTAATAACGTTTTAGTTTTGAAATTTTGTTGAGAAACTGTATTTCATTTGCAATAGTTTTCTTCTGTCTTGTGGAATGATAAGCTACTGTCTTGTTCTTGTAGTACTATTATGTTAATGACTAAAAAAAGGGAGTTATGATAGATAAAAAGTAAAATACCTCCTACAGGGGACAGGTATTGAAATTAATTTCGAAAACAGAAAATCATTTGTCTGAATTGAGTGTAGAAATCGATGAATTACAAAGTCTTTTAGTACAGTTACAAACCAAAGATGAAAAGCTCAAATCTACTGAAAATAAAATTGAAAATCTTTTACATTATGCAGAAGTCCAACCAGAAATACAGTGAATTGATGAATGTAATGAAATACTTATTTTTTAACTTGGTAAAACTAAAGCCTCTAACCAACAGACCTAAGTAGCAGCCTAAGTAAACCAAATTACAAACATGAAGTTGCATAAATTCAACGTTCAAATGTATTATGGGAGATCCATTTGATTATTTAAATTTCTGGAATCAATTCGAGAATTCAAGTGACAAAAATTCTTTCCTTTTGGATGTTGAAATGTTTTTTCTATTTGTTTAGTTGCCTTGGAGACGAAGCTCTTTCTTGCATTGAAAGTTTCGCTATTAGCTCAGATAACTATAAATGGCTGTTAAACTAATGCAAAATACTTTTGATGAGAAAGACGTGTTAATCAATGCCCATATATCTAAACTGCTGAATAAGGCCCAGTTAAAGGGCACTCACTTCTAATTTCCAAGAAATGAGAAATCTGTATTTTAAGTATCAAACCCAAATTTATTCTGTTGGCAAGTTAGATATAAAACTGGAAGGTTACAGCATATTACTTTGCGCTGTAATTCTGAAACTTTATCCCAGTACTTTTGCTTTACAATTCAGCAAAAATCAAATCTAGAGTAGCAATCATAATTTAAAAGAACAGATGGAATTTTGTGCACTGTTTCATTACTGCAAATGGGGGGGGGGAAACTTTTTTTTTTCTTATTTTAGTATCATGCAGCTGATAGGATTGTTTCAATTTTTTCTTCCTTTTGAGAATCTTTCCAAGATAATAAATATCAGCTATGTGTTCATCCACACTTATCGGCAAAGAAGCCGACCTTTTATTCAACTACTAAATTTAAGAGGCAACAGGTACATTTAATAATTTACAAATTTTCTTTGTTTACAAAGCCTGCAAAATCATTGTTCAAGCCTACCATTCCCGGTGCTCGGTAAGTGCTAAGCAATTATCCTGAAGAATAATTAGCTGTGCTATATATTAAAGCCTGTCAAATCTCCTTCTAAAGTGGGGATAGAAAGTAAACTACACTCAGTTTCTGAGGACTTAAAAAAAAAGAAATAACAACTGGATACAGTTTTGCATTGGAATTAATAAAAATAAACATATATACAGAAATTGCATAGGAATTAATGACGAATATTATTAACAATGCAATTGCATTGGAATTAATGACTTCAGTTTTCTTTTATCTATCTTTTTTTTTTTTCTTTACTACGTATCTAGAGAAAAAAAGTGCTTTCAAATGCACAAACCACTTTTTTGGTTGCATATAATGAAGTATTAAGCCAAGCTACACAAAAATTGTGAAAAATTTTAAAAATAAGAGAAACTCGGGAGAAGTAAGTTGCAAATTGAGAGAGTTGGCAACTATATGATAGGTTAGGTGACAAATTACCCACTATAGTGTTGTTCGAGAAGATAAAGCCAGCAGTCATCTGTAAATTGTTATTTGATGATGCAGCTCACCAAGAAGGAGAAATTTCAGTAAATGACTTGTCTTCATACTAGAGTAAACTTGTATCCTAATTTTTTTAAACTAATATTAAAACTTTTTGTAAACTTGACAAATTTTTGTAGTTTACATATCCAGCATACAGTAAGCCTTCCTGCAAATTTGAATTGATCCAGATCATCGGTATAGTAAATTTTTCTGTACTGATCTAAATTCAAGCAAAATTATTGTTCTGCATTTTACTCATATTTTGTTTGGACCGACATCACATCTTTGCTTATCGCAGCTACATTGAGATTTCACTTTGAAAATCATCAAAATTTGTATCCAGAAACCTGTGGATTGCTACTAAATTCTTTCTGGGCTGACATTCTGTTGCCGAAGCTGAAGAAATTGAGACAGCTCTAAACCAGCACTGAATTTCTTAAAGATGTCGGAATGATGCTACAACTAATTCTGTAGAACTTCGCAACCTATGGAAGAGATTCGGTATCGAAACTAATGAAACTCAAGAAGCCATCGCTAGATGTAGTACACAAGCAAAGGTTCTAAGAGTGGCTTAAGATCCAGACAAGGACTTGTCCATTTTCAACATAAAAAAATTGATGCACATTCTTACCTACGGGTCCAGTGCAAAACAATTTGTGTTACAAATATTGGATCGTATCTTTCACCTGACTGGATTCATCGCTCCTTTCATGATTTTCCTGAAATTATTACTTTAAGCTCTGTGGACAGCTGACATGGATTGGGATGATAAGCTACTATCTTTACAAGACTACAAATAACAGCTGTGGTACAGTGAATTTAAACATTTGAACAACAGCTCAGTTGTTAATATTTAAGAAGTAGGTCAGTAGTATATTTCAGAGTGGTCGCTCGAAATAACAGTTATTAGTTTTATATGTTCCAAGAACAGAGTTGCCCTCCTCAAATCTATCACACTGCTGTGTTTAATTTTATGTTTATTATCTTCTAGACTTGCTAAACAAGTAAGCAAGTAAATTTGATGTAAATTGCTACTTCTGGACCGTTTCTTAAATATGTATGTTTCAGATAAAGGGCAAGGGCCAGTAAATACAAACCCTTTGTGAAAAACAGTGTAAAAGAAATTTAAAATTCGACTGAACGTAACAAGTGAGCTTAATGGCCCGGGAAGGAAAGTCCTCTAAACAGCCTTTCCTGGGGTATTTCTATGTTGGATTTAATGGAAAATTCAGTATGGTAGGAAGGACTACCTTGGTTGAATCAACCATACAAGTTTTAGCCTGGTGAGATTGAAAACAAGAATCTCGTTGATTATGAAATGGAATTATGAATTATAAAAGGTATCTGAAACCATAACACAAAACATAAATATGCACTGGAGGATTCTCAGTCTGTTTTAGATTTGAATAAATAGTAACCTAAGTAAGGCATTGAAAATAATGATATTAATTAAAATATTTACTGGTAAATATAGAAAACACATGTAGGAATGGAATCTTACACTACAGCTTAACTCTTATACGCAGAAAAGGACTGGCTCAAGCACGAACAAGATTTTGTGTAGCCTACCGAATTGGAATGCCTTAAAAATGGTACTTGATTTTCTATGGAATTGTCTCTTTATAAGCTAGCTGCATTTCTTTTATGAAAATGTTATTTTATATGTCTGTGGTAGCTTTGAAAAAAAGCAAACAAAAATATTTTGAAAGGTTTTTTTCTTCAATTTTGGCTTATTCAAACTTAAAAAATTTTGTTGCAATACATAAAATAACATGGCAGTTTACTGAGAAGCATAAAAGACCCTTCAAAGAAATCTCTTGGTAAAGCTTGTTTTAGAAATAACAGCTATTCTTGCCAATATTTAATTGGAATAAAATCACAGACCACTTACTTATGTAAGCAATGAGTTAGATGAGCCCAAACATCTAACTCCAGCCCATTTTTTGCTTCATGTTTAAGAAAGTATTAACTATCTTATACATTGTGTTGAAATTATTGCCAATCAATCTTTTACAAAAGAAAATTCAACTTGTGGTAAATTATATTGGATTAAACTCTTATGCCAACTCTGGGCGAAATGAAAGGAGAATTATTTGATTCAATTGAGAAATGCTTTTATTTTTGTAAACCCATCACCAAGAAAGGATTTTACATGCTTGAAGAGACTACTATATCAAAGTTTTATGGTTGCTTTGTATTGTTGAAGAGATTTTTACTGGTAGTGATGGACATGTATATCCGTGCCTTATTTGAACTGACGAAGGACAATATAAATTACCAATCCAAAAAATTTACCCACTTGAAATAATTTGATATTTTTCCCTCAATACTGTCTTATGTCTAACCAATGTCATTAAATACAGTCTTTTTTCATAAATTTAGTATTATTATAATTTGTATTTGTGTTATACTTTTTAAGTAATTTGTACCACTGTTGATTTCTTATTTATATTAAGTGTACTCTTAACAGAGAGGTGCTATGCACTTAAAATTTATGTATCTGTGTTGTGCGTTCGCACTCTCTAAAAGTAGCACCTGCACAGATGCAAAGTAGTACATGAAAATATGTTTTTTTATTACCATGGCAATTATTAGGAAATAAAGAAAAATGGATGTTCAAATGAATTATTTTTGTATATTTATGGATTATTTATTTTAGTAGGTTTGCCAGACATTGCAGTGATGTCTGCTATCTTATTGCCTTTTTATCCCTACATGACAGGGAACCCAGCAGTAAAAGATTTGGTACCTATGGCTTCTTAAGTTCATGCTCAATTTTAGAATTAAAGGTATAAGAAAAGGTTTCACCTTTCTCCTGCACAGCTTATGTAAAAAAAAAAAAAAAAAAAAAAAAAAAAAAAAAAAAAAAGTGTATATATTATATCAGGTTTTCAACAAGAGTTTTCCCGCCACAGCAAATACCATATCTCCCCAAACAGTTTGCATTGGCGTGTTTAATCATATTTTGTCAAATGATTTCTGGCTTTTCAAAGAAAGACACTTGCTTTAGAACACTGTGTTGTGAAATTTGTAAAAAAAAAATATCGTTAACATTAAGTACAAGGTGGCTGAAATAGAACTATCACACTACTAGATTAGAACGATTATTTATTTCCAGTTCTGTTGCCAAAAAATCAGCTACACTTTAGGTACTAATGTTATATCATATGACACTATGAAGGTTTGATACTGAAAGTTCCAAAACAAGGGCCATGGCATTCAAGAAGCAGAGTGCTCTGGCTGCCTTACTGATGTTGATAAGGTCCACCTGCAAAAACTTTTGGAAGAAGATCAGTATGCAACCACTTGAGAGCTTGCTAAGGACTCAGACTTTATTGCCATGCCTATTAGTTGCACTATGCATTGCATAAACTTAACGGTTTTGGACTTGCGGCCACCAAGTTTCCAGGCTGAAGGCTTTGCAAAACTTCTAAAACATTGGCAGAAAATAATAGATTTGGTTGGTGATTACTACCTACAGTAAAAATATTATTTTCATATTTTCTTTTTCCCAATTCTATTAAGAATTTTTTTTTTTTTTAATAGAAAACTTTCATTACTTCCAGATAGCAGTCAATTCTGAGGTTAGTAATGAGCATCATGTAATATATATGCACTCATTAGTGTTTCTTTCAGCATAACACCTGAAAATGACAAGAAGACTAATCTGCACATTCTCCCAAGGTGGAATTATAAAATGCTTTACTACCTGGGTAATTACCTCTCTCATGTGATGTTTTTGAATCAGTGAGCAAACCCTTATAGACCACAAAGGCATACAAGACAGCTGAGCTTCAAACAAAACCTTGCCCATGTCATCAAGCAAAGCAACTTTAAGAGGATGGTTAGGAAGTGAAAGTACACTGAAATACTTAATAAGAACCACTGCTCATGCCTCAGTTAAAGTGATGGCTCATGACAATCAACACATAAGACTTCGGAAACGTTCCAAATGCTCCAGTACATATCTACAGAGCCTGGTGATGAACAGGATCCAATTTCAGTAATATAGAAGGTCGTGAATATCTATAAACCCACTGAGCCATAATCTTTTCTTCCACAGACAAGTGCACTATAGATACAAAACAATAAGCAACGATCCATGCCCCAAGAGATGTTCGTTAGTATTTTTAGAATGCTCACTGTATTGCAACACATCTTCCTCAAGTATTAGACATGCAGAAGAAAGGTCAGCTTTTGATCGATTACTCCTAAGAACTTTACTTCCAGCTCTCTGTCAAAAAATTCTGAAATTGATTTAGAATTTAGAAGGATGAAACTATGCATTTGTTTATATCTTTACAACTTCACAAGTAATTCATTTTTTTAATATTTATATAGCTAACATATATAAAAAAATATTCTCAGTTTTAAAAAATAGATAATGGTTTTGAACTTGGAATACTGACAAATTTTATGTGTTTATTACTTAATACATACTGAATGCGAAAGTGACTTACCTTCAATACAAATGAACTTCCAATGGCCTCTTTTATTCTTAGCAGATTTAAAATTCATCGCGACTTGTTTCGGCAGCTTACAGCCCAAACGGACAGAAATGACATCTTTCGAAAAGCTAGAAGAACCATTTCATTGAATAAAATGAATTCATTCCAATTCCACAAAAAATTAAAATGAACATGATGCTAAAGAAATCAAGAATCAGTAGCCAGATTTAGTCTAATATTAATAAATATACAGAGCTACAGTTTTGAAGATCAAATATAACCTTTTTTTACAGTCATCTTGGCTTTTCAAAATACAATACTGCACGTCAGCTTCATTATAGTTTATTTTCTTTATAATTAATCAATTCTAAATCAAAAATCAGATCAGCATTTTTCTTTATACTTACTCAAATACATTCGTATAATAATCGAAGAAACCATACAGTAGACTGCCTAATGACTGTGTATTTTTTGAATGGAAGCTAATGTCACCTCTAGATGGAACCACCCATTTCCAGTAATCTCCAGATTCATACCGCCTCTAGATTAAAAAAAAAAAGTACACATATCTACATATATTACAAGTAATGATAGGAATAACTTTCAAAAGTTTGATTAGTGAAAGTCCAGCAAGTAAAATAAAAACAAAGCTAGATTAAAAGTGTCTTGTCCTTTACAATAATTTTTTTTTATTTTTTGATGCTATGAAAGACTATGGCAATGCACAATCTTCCTGTGGGCTACAAATAGGAATTTTGGACTTGAACAAATTACAGGAGGAAATATTTTTTATTTGTTGTATGCTGACTTTTAACATTAACAAAAAGGGGGATTTAAATTTCTGAAAGATTATGATATGTTTAGTGCTATTAAAGTGCACCCAAAATAAAGCAGCATTTAAAAGGGGAAGTTCCCACACAGCATTGTGCAGTTTACTTACGAAATAAAATTGATAAAGAACTAGTAAAAAATGCAAATGTCTCAAGGAAGGACAAAAGGAATGGAAAATTGTTTCAAGCTACGACTAAAAAATGTTCCCATTTCTAGAACTCTTTTGACAACTAAAGTTGCCAGATAATACAAGCAATATTTTCACAGATTTCCTTTCGATTTTGGATAGATTTGAAAAACGAAAAAATACAAAATCTTAGATAATTGTGCTGCACACCCCTCTGATATCATGCTGAAAAACATTAAATTAGCATTCAGCCTTTAGACCAGGCTATTGTAAAAATGAAAGAATAGTTTGAGATAACTGCTCTGCACACCTCTCTGAAATCCAGAAAAGCATTAAATTAAGGTTCTCTCCTACAAATATGACATCTATCATTCAGCCTTTAGACCAGATCATTAAAAAGCCTTTAAATATTATTACAGAAAAGATATTATTAAAAAAAAAGCTGAATCTTGTGAAAATGCTAACATTTTAAAAGAGATAACTTTGCTATAAGTTGATAGCAAAGCTATCTCTTTTGAAGTGTTACCAAGCTCATTTTGGACGCCCTGTGCAAAATGATATAGGCTAGATAAGTCGATATCTTTGCTAGAGGCTATGCATATTACAACAGGAATTGCAAGGCTACTTCTACTATTTTGGAAATGAGTGAGAGAAATTTACAAAGATTCGTTTTTGGAATATGTTGCAATTGATGATGATATTGAGAGAGTACGTGAAAACACTAACTTCGATATTAGCTGCAAAAACTGACAGTGAAATGGCAGAAAGTGACTACATGCCAATCTCAACTGAATCGAAAAAAGCATTGCAAACTCCAAAAAATCTTGAATTGATAGATGGAGATCAGAAAAGCTACTAGAAGTTTTAAGAACTTTAAAAATACAATGTTTACAATAAGAATACAACTAAAAAACTATTAATCAACAACACACCACCAAAAAAAGGGGGGGGGATAGAACAGTTTAAAATTTCATCAAGTACGTAATAACATTTTTTATAAAAAATTAAAAATAAATTTTGAAATTTCACATTTAGTTTAGTTTAAGCATCAGTTTTTAATTAATAATTTATGTATTAATTATTAGATTAACTATTAGTTACTACCTTACTAAATAAGTTCAAAGTTGAGGCTGTAATCTGCAGTATTAAACTGGCATAACTAACGGTTGATATTTGTACCTATAAGTACAATATAAGAACCTCTGGTCAACCTGAAAGGCTATAATACAACTGAATATAAACAATCAAGAGTTCTGTAAACTTGAAATATTCAACTGCAACATAAATAAATTTTGAAACTTGAAAATTAGTGCTGTTAACAGCATTTTAATAATGGTAGATCCACAAACTAATGGCAGCAGATTAAAAATATTACTGGCTAAAGATCTCTGGATTAAAGCAGTGCAATTTGTGCAAGTTATAATATTCATGATTTGAGTATTAAAATAAAAATGAACTGCATGCATTACAATTATAAGTGAAAATTTAGTCTTTGAGAGATATTTAGTTCTAAACATATGATTTAATAAGTTTCCAAAATTAAAATTTTCTGCGATACTTGCCTACTGGACAGCAGTTCTTTTCTATAAAAGCTTTTATTTAATTCACTCACGGTATTTCGCTTAAGTGGAATTTTGTTATTGATTTTTAGCCTACTTCCGGATAAACAATACACAGTTTGTCTATGACAATACAATACGATGAGATTTTTTTCAAAATTCAATTTTTTTTTAAAAAATTTAATGATTAAACATTTTTTCGCAGATATCTCGGCTTAACAAACAAACAAAGAATGTAAAAATTTTACTGTTCACCTCATCGGACAGGGTAGTAAAAAAATCTTTTAAATAACACTTGATTTCTGAATTTTTGGCAAATTTCGATTATTTCTCATTTATGATTTTAAAATTTCAACAACCAAATATGCATCGAATATAAAGGTTCGAAATTTCAGATTATAAAAAAGCTTTTCATTCTCTTTTAAAATAGAATGATAGAAATTATTAACTGAGAGATTTTCGGGAGATGAAAACAAAACTTTTTCATGTAAAAATTGCGTTTGAATTTGCCATCTTGGTGTACTTAACGATGAAGTGCAAATATATGTTTATTCACTGCAACTTCCAAGTAAAATGCTCACTGTAACATCATTATTACAACCAATTTCTGAAACTAAATATTCAAAGCAATTCTTAATTTAATTTTCTATTATTTATTTATTTTTTTATTATTTGTTCTTATCTCATAATTTTCTTATACTTTATTGCTCATGTTTTAATAATGACTGAAACTAAGCATTATGTATAATTGAGACTGAAAAACAGAAAATAAAATTAAAAAAAAAAAAAAAGTTTTATGCAATAAGCTTTCATTTAAAATGGATATGATAAATAATGCACAACAAGAAGAAAAATAATTTATCATACAGTTTAATGGGAATAGATGATTATTAAATAATTCTATATGTAAAATTCATCTACAAGTTTTATATTGCAAAGAATAAAAGCATGAGGTGCCTAAATAACAAAATCTATCGACCCTTTCCAGATGGGCACTCACAGCCGAGCGCCTCACCCATGCATCACTGAAGAATGTGCCGACAGGGCGGGTGATGCATATATGCATTTTAAGCTAAAACATTTTTAAAAACCACTAGATGATGCCACATCCATTACTTTTGAAGTGAACCTTAGTTTTAGGATCCTGACCTACAACTGGATTCACATTCTGCCTAACTTTAGTGTCACTTCTTGTGGGGGAAGAGCGAAAGTGTAGTATAAACAGAGCTCAGCTCTTTTAATTCACCATATGACATATAAACATATCTCGTTTCTTATATTTCAAATCCTTTTTTTTTTTTGCTACTACATAGGATCTTTTAAGGTTACTTACTATGTGAGGCTTTGCTTATATTTCATATACTTCCTCTTTTACTTTGGAATGTCTTGTCTTCAGTTTGTAATGGTAACTAAGCGCTATTTATCAGAGGAAGGATATAGTAGTATGGCAAATGAGCCAGTTAGTGACATGGATGAGAGTCATGATTCGCTTTCTAAAGAGTTAAATAAGCGATATTTCTAGTGATTCTGATAAGGACAATTTGTCAGAGACTCAGCTGAGTGCATGCCTTCCACTTCCTGTGAAAGATTTTGTTATTTCTTTTTGTAAATAGTCTTTCCTTTATTTTTTTATTATTAGTGCTTTCGAAAATTATATCTCAAAGAAAGCAATTTAAAAATATATTTTCATGTAAAGTAGAGGAAAAATAGTATTAAATGCTAATTTTAACATATATGATAGCTTAATTAATAATCTAAAATGATACAAAAAATTATTCTTAATTTTTTTTTTTTTTCTGTGTGATTTTGTTTTTTTAAAGTTAGACTTTGCAATGCAAAACTCCTTGTCCTGAGGCATCTTTCCTTCCTTCCAACTCCTACCCGTCCCCAGGGAACGTCTTAAACAAAAGTACACCATTTCAAAAGAGTTAATTTAATTGCATTGTCAAATGTATAAGCCATTATTCACATTCACCCAATGCTTTTATTGTTCACAATATAAAAATATAGATGAATTCTATGAATAAAATTATTTAATTTAATTTCCATTAAACTATATGAAAAATTATTTTTTGCCTTTTAGTACATTAATTACATGCATTTTAAATAAAAGCTTACTGTATAAAAACCTTTTTTTAACTGCAATTTTTTTTTTTTTTTACCCAGATGGTAAAAAAAAAACTGGGCATTACAGGGCCTAATATATATTTGCAGGCTAAAAAGAGATCATTCATGATTTCTATTTTTTTTTAAAATGTTCTGGACACTAACCTCTCAGACACAGGAGAGATTTGTATTTTAAATGTTTCAAAGAATCATATAATAAATGGAAAAACAGTTAATTAAAAATCTAGACATTTATGAAAAAATAATGTTATTTCTAATAAATTATGCAATATTTTTGATACTGATTATAATTGCCCTAGTGGGTAATGAAAAACCAGTTCATTACTCATGTTATTTCTAATAAATTATACCATGCTTCTGTGACTGACTCCAGTTCCTTACTTAATTAGGTAGAGTAATATTCAATACGTGCCACGATGTTCCCCCTCCCCCCGCGCAGAGCAGCGTGAAATTGATAAACAGATTTCGGAACGGTTAGATAAACAAAGGATATGCCTTTATCCATTTTTTGGAGCAATTCCACTTTTTGTTTGATGGACATCGAAACATATTTTCGTTTTCGTAGATCCTTTGGGAGCTCCAGCATCGGAAATTCTATTTGACATAATCGAAAGTTCAAGCTTACTTTTATAAAATTGCTCTTACAGTCTACAAAAAATAATAAGCCAGATCCAATTTGAAGATTAAGGAACAACACAATCATCAACATTAACTGAAATAGATAATTAGATAATTTTAGCTTATACCGTCCGTTATACATTAAACGCGCATGCGAAAACGTATTCTGCGCTTGTGTACACGCATATGCGCAGTCGTAAAGGTCTTAGGCGCACGCGTTTCGGTCTTTCTGCGCATGCGCAGAAAGTTTTTAGCTTTGAGGTCCGGATTATAGATCATTCCAGATTATGGGTGTCCGAATTAACGACTTTTGACTGTATAGGAAAAACAGAATAGATAACATTTTTAATCAATGATTCTGCAAAATAGTTAATTCTTTTAATTGCAATAAAATGTAAAATACTAAGTAATCCTTAAATATAGACTAGAAGAGAAACACGCTAATGTGACAATCAAAATCGTAAAAACAACCTTGTATTTAGCGTAAGTATAATGAAACACTCAATCGATTTCGAGGGCAGCTAAAGGTCCCTCCTCATCAGGAGAAAGAAATACCAAGAAAGAAGAAAATAAAGGAGAAGGAGTCTCAGAAACACGTGGTCCTTATCAGCACTGCACGTGGTTAAAACTGGATTTTTAATCAGAGTTGCACTGGCCACCTACTGTTACTGAGCCAGGCTATCTGATCAAGCATAAAGGACAAGAAAAATTACTGAAGTTAAAATAGGGAGCGAGGGGCAAATGCACCTTCACACTCAAAATCTGAACTTCAAATAATGGAAAGCAACCACTGAACGGATTTTTATACCCTCTGGTAGTACCAAACGTGAGGAAAACGCATTCTATCGGCAAACGCCATCTATCGGCAAAAATAACTGAATTAAGATAGTAGAATTTTAAAGGCATTAGGATGTTAGTTAATGATTTGAAGTCCAATCCAGTCCTTCCTAATGCCTTTAAAATTCTACTATCTTAATTCACTTGTGTAGGGAATATTATGAAGATTATTTCTGTAAAAAATATTTGCCTTCAACAATCATTTTGTTTATAATAATTAATCTCATACTTTAAGCAAAATTTTCGACCGGGTATTTTTGCTGAAAATATTTAACGAAAGAATCGCCATCTTTATCAGATCTATTTTTAGTCAAGGTCACCGTTTATCAGAACATTACATCAGTCAGATGTTTATATTTGTGTTGAGAAGGAAGGGAATACAGGTGTTGCGTTGACGTAACATCAGCAGGAAACGGGTAGTCAATCTTCTTTTTCACTTTTTTTTGCGATGTTCTGGTTGTTAAGAAATGTCTAGAACGAGGTATCTTACATTAGAATAAGCCCTTCAAAGATTTTTTGATGAAGAAACAGACGATGGTAATGTTAATAATGACCAGAATGAAACTGATATTGTTGTTGTTCCCCCAGAAATTGCAGAGGATATTGACGAAGAAGAAAGGCATAGCAATGTTTTAAATAATGATAATAATATTTTACCAAATGATACTGCTGAGGAAGTTGAAATTCACGTAAGAAGTAAGTTTCAGCCTTCTAGAAGCAGTTATAGTCATACTAAAAAGTTTAAAAAGCAGAAAACTGAAATCTTGAAGTGGATAAAAAAGGAACTGTTAGTTATGTCTCGAAGAACATGAAGAAAGAGATAGAAGAGAAATTATAAAAGACAAAACACAAGGTAGAACTAGTGCACAGATTTTCGATTTTCTTTTTGGTTTAGACATTTACTCTCTTGTTGAACAGACAAATATATACATTCAGAGAAAAAAAAAAAAGAAAAGAAATAGCCAGAAATAGATCAGCAACAGGAAGACCTAGTAAATTCACCATTCAAAAACCATTCCATGGAGATAGTAGACATTTTATCGTAAAGTCTGTTGATAACAAAAGACTTTGTTGTAAAGAGTACCATAGCCAGACTGTTTATAGATGCAAAGTATGTAATGTAACTTTACATCATAATTGTAATCAAGCTTTTCATGCTTGAATCTTTCAAATGAAATAATCTGTATTTGTAAAAGAAATACAATGTATATTTTAATATTAAATTAATTACAAGTAAAGTGATTTGTAGATTTATAAAACATTATACAGCTAAAAAGTAATCGTGCAGTCTACTCAAAAGAAACATCACACGAGTACAATCCTACTCACTAAACATCTGTAGTCTTATTCCGCTGACGTTGCGCGAATGCAACACTCGCTTTTTCCACAGGTAATAGCATTTTCTTAAAATTTTCAATGTAAATTTATGTTATAAATGCTTAATTTAATATTTGTTATTATTTTCATGAGAAAAGAAATGTTCCTTGTAGTTTTGGCGGTTAATGGGTTAAATACAAAAGTGGGCAAATAGGACTGCTTGAAATGTCTATGCGGTGCAGGTGGGTGGCAAGGCAATCACGTCCTGTAGACAGACGGAAAGCTGCAACTGCATTGCATCTTGGACTATCAGGAAGAAGAGAAAGACTTGCCATTTTCCACCTTTTTAAGGCTGTATGAGTCTGAAGATCTCATAAGATATTAGATGTAAATTATATCATTTAAAGGTACAGTCCTTCCATTAATTGCATTAATGTAGCTAATGCCTGGTATTACATTATTCCGATTGACATTATTATCATTATCTTTACTTTGCTCATTTTCAATTCTAGCAGTAGGGAACTTCGGGCAAACATGGTAATTGGCCAGGTGCCCTAGTTGTTTGCAGTTACAGCACATAACATTGTCACTTTGTTTAGCTTTACAGTTTTCAGTTTTATATGCCCCCATTATTCATTTGATGCAGCGGGGCTTTAGTTTACAATTTTTTCTGACAAGTGGTGGAAGTGTTGGCATTTGTGACACTGCACAACACTTTCGATAGCGCTATATGGGATAACAGTAAAATTTTCATTTTATACTTGTTTTGATTTTCTCATACTTTGTCAAAATCCAAAAGATGGGAGAAATGTTATAACTCAAACACCAAATAAGCAAAAGTTTTGCTTCTGCCAGTGGCCAGCGGTCATTTACTTGGCTTCTCTAAATAGAATTTTGATTTGAATGGGGAATCATTCTCATCTTTCGATTTGAAATTAATCTTGAACCATGTAAATAGTGTGATATATGGTAGGTGTACGTAAATAAATAGTCATAGAGATTTGTTTTGAATTGGATTATGGAATCGAAAGCTCTCCCAAAACAATATTGTCGACATTTTGAATTTGGGAATTAGAACAGTTGAGAATTCAACAACTATTGCATGCAGATTAATCAAAGGCATACAAACCTTCACTGGAATGTAAGTACAACATAATTTAGTTCCTTTTAAAGCAAACAGTGCACAATTTACCAAATTATAAGGAAGAAGAAAAAAAAAAAAAAAAAAAAAAAAAAAGAAGAAGAGCTCAAGGGCAGGGTAAGAGAGTGGATATGTAGATATATATATATTGGTGCTACCAATTGCAACAAAAAAGGGAGGTGCACAACTAAATGCCATAGCAGTCCCATACACAAAATTTCAACATTTTACGTCTAATCATTTTTGAATTATGTGAGATACATACATATGCACGCATGTACGTACATCATGAAAGAAATACCTTCTAAATACTTTTGTCCTTCATTCTGTCTGTATCTACACATGGCATGCCCCCCTAAAAAGAGTTCAGAAGGATTTGAGAGCAGTCAAAATGGATATTTTCATTGAAATACGATACCTAAAATTTTTCACGATTACAATACTTCCTTTACTTCATACAAGGAAGTAAATTCCGAAAATTCCACATTAATTTCTTTAGAGCTTTTATACGAAATAAAAGTATTTCATGTAAAATAAAATTAAAAGAACTTGGAAAAGTTTGAAGTACTGAATTTTCCTGCTATTAAAATATTCAAATAAACGATATAACTGTAAGAAGAAATTTAAAAATATACAATACACTATTCAAATACATAATGATTTTTTTTAAAACAATGTAATATTTCACATTAATGTTTCCTGTTGAAAAGTTACTTTTTAGTGCAGTATGGTTTTCATTTGAAATCAGAATATTTAAGACAGATACATACAGGATGCATTTTCTGCAAACATGGCAATACTGGAGGCTCACATCCACCTGAATAAAATAGTTTACTTTTACTTTTCAAGTAATTAACAAAACTTCAAAATTCTTTCAGCACACAAATTTAAATTAAAAAATAAAATTGGTTGTATCTTATATAAATGGTTCAACCAATTTGTGTGAATGACAAATAATAATAAAATAAATTGGAACTGAACTTTAAATTATTGTACTTAATGCACTAACTCCTTAAATGTCAATGCACTTTTCTATTGCACATTCAAATTAAAATGAAAAATGAATTTCTTTACAAAAAGCATTTCAAAAACTCAATTTTTATCATTATTATTAAAAGAGCACAGCTTTTTAAGGTTCAGTTCCGTACTCTGTAACAAATATTTTTTAATATATTTATTACACCAGATATGAACTTTACACATCATAGTTGTGAATGATTTCAATTAACCAACAAAATGATTAAATACAATGAAAATAAAATATAAAAAATATTATATAAATATTTCATAAAAATGTTACTGTGAATATTTTTCAGTTTTGTAATTAAATGCATAACAGATAAACATCTTTTAGACAGGAAATATATTCTAACAGCGTAGAATTGTAATACAAAAAGTGCATTTTAATCCCGTTTATCCTAACGAGACTTGAAAAATAAAACTGTAATATAAAATTATCAGAGAAATCATTATATATTGCTGTAGTTTTTCATCATTATTTAAGATGAAAGTAATTTGATATATTTGAGACAAAAGTTCAAGATATTTCATACAATCTTTAGATCTCCATCTTTCATAGCAAATTATATAACTTGCAATCCTAGGTCCATACATCTTATCACTTCTTTCCTTTACTGTTTCAATTTATGTCTACTTCCTTCTTACAGGTTCCCTCCCCTTCTTTTTATGAAACTGCTTACTTAAAAACAAACAAGGAAGGAATTAAAAGAGATCAATATACTGGTGAATATGGCTTTATGCAAGTATTACAAACTCTCCCAAATGTTTATTAAATGGTATCTGAAAAATGAAGAAACAGACATCATGCATCAATCATGAAAATGCTCACTGAAGCCATTCCAGACTACAGAGGCTCAGTTGGAAAAACTTCATTTTGTCTGAAGTAAGAAAAGCTGAAAAGAATAGTCTGAAGTAGTGTTATAATCAAATCAATATGTATATATATATATACATATATAGTTAGTTACAGAACTATGCAAAAAGCATAAATCTGCTTTTTTTTTTTTTTTTTGCTGCCTTACGTTATACAAAATACAATAGATGAATATTTATAAAGATTAATTACACTGGTGCTGCTTATCCTGAGTTTTTCAAATTGACAAATAATGAGTGGTGCATTTTACACTCTGTTGGGCAGTCAGAATTCTACTATCATAAATTGGTACACTGAGTACCAATGCTGAAAGCATGAATTTTCCTAACTTATTCACAACTTGATTAAGGAAACTTTTACAGGGATAGAATCTGGGAGTCTTGCACTGCTTACCTCTGTTACTAACTTCTAAGGATGGTTTTTTAAATTGAAGGATTTCAAGCCACTATAGTCAAAATGAGGTCTCCCCCTTAGACCCTTCCACCTTCCACCTGATTACCACACCAAAGATCAGAATTGTATGTAAAAGGTTTACCAAAAAAGCAAAAGCTTCAAATACATTTTCTCGAAATTATTTTGCAGATTTATGATTTTGGCATTTTGCTGATGCTATACAAATGCTGCAGAACAGTAATGAAATTGCTTGCATTGTGCAGGAATCAGCAACCTGGAAGCTTTTCCTCTGTGTGCAGAATGTTGGATAATTTTATTTTAAGCTCCAGATTGGGTTTACACTCTACACTGAGAATGGAACTTTAAAATGTCAAGCAACACTGTAAAATAAAATTCTGTGTGAAGCAGATACAGAATGAAGCAAGATGCACTTGAGCATTTCCATAGGTATATCAGGTATCACTGAGCCGAGCTAACTACTAATTTTCTACCCCAATTCTGAGAGAGAACCTGGGAGAGCACACGAGGGATCTCCCCCTCCCTCTTTCCCAAACCTAACATCTCAGGATAATTTTCAACTTGCTTATATTTTGTGTCCTCTTGTCACGCAGTCACTATATGCCTACATATGTCCATGCCTTATCTGGTATCAACTCTGGGTCTATCGGTATGGTAGACAGCTGGGCAGTTGGGTGAAATGCATGCTGAAAATGCAGGTCAAAATTTTTAACCATGGACAGCATATACAAAATTAACAGACAAGTTTAAAGTGATTCCATTTGAAGAGTTTCAAAACTGTTACAAGGATTGCGAGTGATGTCTCCATCATTGCTGAACTTCCCAAAAGAGTTACTTTGAAGAAGATCTAGTGATTTGTAACTCATGGATTTATACTATGTCTGATAAAATTAACTGCATTATTTTTCTGTCATGCCTTGTATATCACAATATGTAACATGCTTACAGAACTATAACAACTATTAAAATGTACAGTTTTAAAATCTAATGAAAAATCTGCAGTTATGTTTATAATTTTGTTAAAGAGTTTTGTTAATCAGTAGTAATACTGTACTTTAATAAATGTTTTGACCATAACTGAAACTGTTTAATCAAAACATGAAGAGTAATTTTTTTACATGGACATAAAGCATTTGCATTTTAACCCTTTGCGGCGCACTATACGTTAACGTCGGAATTTCAACAAAAAAAGTTGTATGCAGTCTATTTAGTCCTAAAGGAGTATCAGGTAAAATTTTGTAAAAGATGCACTTAGTGTTTTAATTCTGTAGGTGTTCCATGAGGTGGAACACTGCGCCGCCAGAGCTTTTAAAAGTGCGACTAAGCGAGCATTGCAGTGAAGCACGAAAATGAATAGAAGCGTTTGTATAAGAATGAAAAAAAACTCTGTATTATGGTTGTATACATGGTTTCCTGGATATACACAATATTCTTGAATATATACGGATAAATGAGATAAATATCTATATACACAAGTCCTATATATAAAAAATATTTACAAATTTTCTAAAGAGCGCTTCGTGAAATTGTTCAAGAGCAAGTCACGCCTTTTTGATGGAAGCAAACCAACTAATAAAAAAATTAACTACGATTAATATTAACAAAAAAGAAAAATAAGCTTATAATATATAGATACACGAAAAATATCTACACAATTATTGAAAATAAACGGGAATGAGAGACTAAAAAGACAGCAAAAACATTCGCGTAGGTCTAAGTAAAGATGAGTGAAGCTACTAATGAAATTCCCGCCTAAAAAACTACCCCCAAAAAATTTCGAGATGCCAATATTAATGCTTTCATAACACAAAACCACACTCGCCCCTCAATGCTGCTTTGTTTGAATTCATTCCCCTCCCAAAAATCAACGGAAAGAGAAAACGAAAACAACGGATGTTCTCTCCTGAGAGCACAGAGATGTTCTGATTAGTAAAGAGCATGAGATTGCTAAAGGCGCAGTGTTCCCGCTAATGGAACACCTGGTTTTATTCAATGATTCTGCGTATGATTTTTGTATGAAAGATTAAAAAAAAATAGAACAATAATTTGGAGTACAGCCAAAAAATTATGCCTAATTTTTCTCCAAATAAAATTTTTTATATCATTAAAAATAGAGAAAATTACTTGAAAAAAATGGATTTTAATAACACATAATAAATTAAAGTTATGTGTCTCCTTGTGATATGCTGCTATCTACGGTTTAAAAAGAAAAGTTCAAAGTATATTATAAAAGCATTTTTATCTATTTACGGTTGAATTTAAGAGGCTTTCGAAGCGATTCAATTTGGGTGTCCATGTAGTGGAACACTGAGCCGCAAAGGGTTAACTATGAAACTTAGAATTTTAAAAAATAAAAAAGTGTATAAAATTCTGATATCCATTAAGTATTAGCACTTAAGTGCTTTTCCCAAACACACTACTTGCAGAGTTTCAGAGATTTCCTTTGCTTGTTATATAAGCTGCACTGGCACTTTCGTCATCTCTCTCTCTCTCTTTCCCCCCCTCATTTTGCTTAGTTTACTATAATTATAAACAACTGAACATGCAATCCAGTGTTGTAAAACCCATTTTGTCGATGCTAGATGGTTCGGAAGCATGCCTTAATTGACACCCTTTCCATTTGCTTTCTCAACACTTTTTTGCTTAAAAAAATATATAATATTAAAAATTTTATTTCCCCACTAATAGAAAAATAATGATGAAATACATAATGTATGTATGCAGCTGACTGTTTATAGTCAGATGTAATCTGAAACTTTTGTAAATGATCTGTCAGTAATGAAAGTTCTCTAGACTTGGATATGGAAGACGAAATTGGTTCAGATGATCTTAGCCATGCTAGAATGAAAGTTAATGCATACATCCTAAATACTCTGATTTCCTTTCACAGCCTATTTAATAATTATCTGGTTAAATGGTTAAATAATTATCTGGTTAAAATAATGGTTGGATAATTTCAATTTTAAGATGCGTTAATTGATTATTGTTTGCTTGCTGTTATTTTAAAAAACAGGTATGTTAAATAAATATTGACAATAGTTTCACTCAAAGGCATCCTAGAAGTAAAAAAAAAAAAAAAAAAAAAAAAAAAAAAAACTGGAAGATGAATAAAAAATTTGCTTGCCATATTAAAAACTACTTCCTTAAAACAAAATTAAAAAAAAGGGGGGGATTTTTTTAAACTTATTTTCTGCATCTACTTTCAGTATAGATGATCTGTTTGAAAAAAGCAATCTTTAACTGAACACATAATTTTATCCTAAATAAAAATTGATTTACATATTTAAATTTTGCAGGCATAAAAAATTCAAATAAATGTTTAGTTTTATAAAAGTGAAATAATTAACAAATTAAAATTTAAACACTTAAGTGGTTAAATAATTAAAATTTATCAAACAAGCTAAGAATACAGCATAAAAAGTTAGAAAACGTAGTTATTTTAAATGTTTACATGCATTTTATTTTCTAGAAAAATAAAACTTTTAATTACAAAATTTGGGTAGTTTTATGTTACAGTGGCTATTGTGAAAGAAAATGCCTAACTCTCCAAATAATCACCAAAGCTGACCACTGACTGAAAAACTAAAACCTGCAACCCCATGCATGCATCAAAACTAGTCCAGCTAAGTGTATTGCACATTCTTAGCTGCTTTTTACATTATTTAATGGAAAAGAATTCTTCTGCCCAAAAGCAAATAAACCATAATTCTTTTAGAAATGGTAGCCTGGAACAAAAGTACCAATTTGCAAAGTGAATGCCTTTCATCTTTATACAATTTTTAATATTTGATATCTAATGGCTTTTATCTGATTGCTTCCTGTGCATTTTCAGCCCAAGATAAAATATTTTTTCATGAAAGATTACCACATATGGCTTGCCTTCACCTTGAGCCATACCCAGAAAGGTTTATATGATGCCAGTGTACACAAAATAATAATAATAATAATAATAATAATAAAAAACTTTAGAGCTTTCCATTCTTACAGCAGCTGTAGAAAGTACATAGCAAACTTTATGCATCAAAAGCTATATGAAAGAAACAAGTGAAGTTATAATTTTATTACATTTTCATTCCCCCCTCTTTTAGCACTTTTATTACTTCCCTGCACATTCTGCTCAGCAGAATTTTCTTTCATGGTAGCCACTATAAAACAAAAATACTAGAAATCTTATTATTCAAGAATCCTTTGAATGCATGTGCAGTTAATTACTTTTGTTTTCAGCTCTGCATATGGAAAATAAGAGAAATTAAAAAATACTTGCCACTCTACAGGTTACTCTGAGCTTTCTGGGAGTTCTGATTCATTACAATTATTTCTGCAAAAAGTTCTAAGCAAAATATGACAATACAGCCTTCAAAACTTCACTTACTACACATATGAAAAGACTATGACAATACCCAAATTACTTTTTCTTATCTTTCTTAAGTATTCAATAAATGACTTTTTTTTAATAAATAATTTCAGTACTAAATTAAAATTAACTGAAAAAGTTAATCTTACATTGCAAATAATGAATAACCATCAATACAAGAGAATAACTGGAAAGTGTCATCTCTTTAGCATTGTTTATTTTGCAAACTTGAGCCCATTTCTTTATAACAAGCACCAAAGGCGGAACTCTCCAATCCACTAAGCAAACGAGAAAGAAAAACAAATGCTGCATATACACCAGGCATGCACTAATATTTGATTAAAATAAATAGAATGGGTGACTTCTATTTTAAACAAATTTAAAAATTCTAAAATTTTTTACATAATACAAGTCAATTGCATACACAAAATAGCACATTTTTAATACTTAAAAAGTATACTACAATTCATGATTTCATGAAATATTTGAAAAAAGTATTCTGTTGCAAATACTGATTTGTGAATACTTTTGATACCATAAACATATAACTAAATGCAACAATTTAGTTAAAGTTTGCTGAATCTTATTTCATTTTGGCAATTTAAAGGGACAATAAAAAATTAATTATTTCCCTTTTACTTTTTGCTTGAGTAGAAAATTAAAATTTAACACAGAAAGAACTTTCACCAGAATTACAAACTGGAAATCCATTAAGTTTTTCAGTCCATTTAAAAGATAATTCTGCAATTTAGAAGTCAATTATATGGAAATAATGCTCTTATTGCAAAATTGAGGAGAAAAGCATTTGAGGATTATTTGCAAAGGAAAATAATGCATGTGTTGTAAAAAAAATGGTTTGTATTAACATTAATAATATGCAGGAAACTACAAAAATATCCATCCAGCCTGTTCATTCAGTCACTGAAAATAAAACCTCGGTTTATATCAACATTAATATGCAGGAAACTGCCAACTATCACCCTTTCAACAAAGATCTTTAACTTTACAAATTTAACTAGCTTGTAATTACATAACAAATTTAAATATGAAAATAATAAACATCTTTCTGAATAATTTAAATCTTATGTTCATACTTACATGTTAAAGTAACTACCTAGGTGGAAGAAAAAAGCTTTTTACAGAAGAATAATGATGATTTATTAAACACACGTATATATTATTATACTTATATTTTAATTAGGTACTTAGTCAGAAAATATGATCATTAACTTTTTTATTTTCCTTCAGAAGGAAATTTTATGGTGTTTAAGAATAGATTCAAAGCAGTTGTGTTCTTTAGAGGTTTTGTAGCAATTTATTATATTCTTATAGAATATTTACCCCATTTTCTTTCACTGCATATTCCACAAGTATATACTTTAGAAGAGTTTAAGGCAAAAAAAATCGCAAAAAAATCATCGGAAGTTGGAATACAATGAAACAGAATGAAAAAGACATAGTGACACTGTTTATTAAAACTAAAAAGGTATTATGTGCATGAGTGCAGGAGACTGGAGCATTGTGAAAATTTTGCAACCTCTATGAAAGTAGTTAAGCTAATACATGAGTATCCTTATTTTTAAAAAGATATAATTTTAATTATTGATAATTAATATTAAAAATTATTATTTTAATAACCATTTCAAATGATAATATTAATTTACCTAATAATGTATACAATCAATAATTTTTATAAACATCTATGGCCCTAATGAAATTTTAAAAAGATATTTCTAACATATACTTATGTCGCCTATCATGGATGAGTTGATAGGGGCTTTGAATTCTCATGAATGGGCTGCTTTCATTGATATTTTCATAGTTTTCTTCATGAGTAACCAGAATACAAGCTAGTTTCCCTTCAGAAAATCTTCCACAAAAAGCAACCTTCCCTTAGGTTAAGTGTACTATGCCATAATCAAATCAAATAATCAATTAAATATTAAAATATAGAATCATTTGTGATTTTCCATTCTTTCTTAAAAACCACTTGTAAAATAGTCAGTTCTTATATCAGCTAGATGTAAGAATTTTGTATTTTGCATGCAAGATCATTTCTAAAAACAGAACAGCTTTCTCAACTTAATTCAAAATCTCTTTTTCATATATATAAATAAGGACTGAACATAAATAAGGATGTAAAAATAAATAAGTATTGCTATAACAATATGCTTTTCTTGTAATTAAAATGCAAGAAATTAAAATAACTTACACTGGCTGTAAGCTCCAAGAAGCTGAGTGTTTGCAATTCCCACTGTGTTATTTATATTCAAATCTACTTGAATATTGCTACAAAGAACATATTTTAAAAGTTTTTTCCTTAAATTTGCAACAATTTTATTTCATTATTTAGAAAACATTTCATATAAATAAGTCAACAGAAAATCAATGCTATATTAATATTTATTTTGCTGCTGTGCAAACTTTAATATAACAGAATAGTTTAACTAATAGAACTGTTTACTTTTATCACTTAATATTTTACATAAATATAATGAACTTAAATATGAATTGCTAATTTTCTTAATAAACTGATGAAAGAAAAATTTACTTAAGCATTTAATACCAATATAAACTATGTCTACAAAAGTCCTCACTTTGCTTTTATATTCGCATATAGAAGGCTACTATAAAAGATTCACTTATTTTCTATATATTCAAAAGTATTATGTGCACAAATAAATATAAGTGACATTTGTGGGAGGGGGGCACAAATTCATTTTATTTGTACACCAAAACTTTTCGACTAGTGCAAGTTACCTGGATATATTGCAGCTCTGGTTATTTTGACAACTTACTGCTGATTCCAGGGATTTTGTCTTCCAATGGGAAAGGGCTACACCTCATTGAAACAACCAAGTATGTTGATAGCTGAGTGATGAACTTCTGCATCGGTGGATTGGGTGTATTGGTAAAGATGACCTTGCTTTTTTCCGTAGCCCATAGGCCACCTTGTGATTTCTTCCTCCGAGGGCACAATAAGAACCTTGTCTTATGTACTTCCATTACCAAAAACTTTAGAAGAGCTCAGGGAATATATCAGTGTTACAGTGATGACCACTTTCAGGATGACACTACGAACTGCCTGCAATGAATTCAATTACCACCTACCACCTGAACGTGTGACCCAGGAGCACATGCAGAACATCTGTAGAGTACGTAGAAAACCTGAACAGTTTCTGGTTAGTTTCATATATCACTCATAATTGTATGTGTAATACTTTAGAATACACAGCATTTTGAAAATGAATGAATCTTTTACAGTAACCTCTTACTTCAAATTTAAAAATGTCTTATAAATGGCATAGACATTTATGCTATGTCATTTTTAAGTTTAAAAAAAAATCAGCATTGTGGAAATTATTAAAACTAACTTTTTTTACAATCTCCTGGTTCCTATACTTGTAAACTTGACTCCTGAACGACAAAAATTCATTACAAAATTTGACAAAAATTCATTACATTCTCAAATTTCATTACAAAATTTAAAATTTCTGGCATCATTTTCATTTGGGATAAAGAAGCCAGTTAATAAATAAATTAGAATAATTTGAGGTTTATTCCCCCCTTAAGTAGTATTCGGTGACATTGTTTTACTTTATTAGTGTCTTTAATTACACTTGGTATGCTGAAAGAATTTTCGCATAATTTATGTTTTCAATGTCTAACCATAATCCAGTAATCATATTAAAAATTTCTTTAAACTACATATATTTTTCATCTTTAAGTAGTACAAATAATATTGTGAATTAGCTACATGCCAGTGTTAGAACACAAATTCCATAAGATTCTATGATTAAGATCTGCATTTTGGGAGAAGGGAGGGAATTACATCGATCAATAATTTTCAAAATAATTTACATAGTAATGCTCATTACTTAATCTCTTAATATTAGAAACCTTTTTCTAAACTAATGTTTTATTTTTAACTACATGCAAATGCAAACATTCACTATGAATCAATTTACAAACGTCTGAATATTTCTTTTTATTTACATATCAACATTACACTCTTTAAGGCATTCGCTGCTGATCATGTTCTGGTGCACGAATGGTGCTATTGCTGAAGAGCCAATCATGTTGTGGTGCATAGTGTCAGGTGATGTCTCAGGTGCTAGGCACTCGCTGTTACGAGAAAAGTAGCGTCTCATTTATTTTCCGGTTCAATCAGCATTATGTTTTGAATATGTATGCTAGCACTAACACAAAGTGAAGGTTAGAAACTAGTTGTAAATGTATGTGGTCTGGAATGAAAAGAAAGTTTTCATTTCATGCAAAGATCATACACGAATAAGATTCTGAAATATATAGTTTGCAAAATATCATTGTAACTATCTTATAATAAATTCATCTGTGATATATATACATTTGCTTGCAATATATTTTCATGCAAAGCTAATGCATATTGTTACTTATTTTGATTCATTTTTAAATGCCACATGCCAGCATATAATGCGGCATTGCAGAAATAAATTGATCTCTAGTGCTGGTCACTGGTGCACACTCATAAAATTCTAAGCTTAAAGGCTTAGAAATCAATGCAGTACATATAATAATCTTTATTAGCTCTTTTAAATCTTATTCTTTATGACAAGTAAGTCAGCATATGGGTACTATCTGTTTCTACTACACAGCATCAACTATCAACACAACCTCACATGACTGGCAGCAAAAGTGTTAAAAAATGTTTAATATTAATTTTATTTTTTAAAATACAAATAATCTGAATTTAAATGCTAATTAAATTTACTTACTTGTATTTCTCAATGAACTTCAAAATTGGAACTTTGGCAGTAATTAGATCTGTACTTTTTACAAAGGCTATGAAAATAAATTTTAATTAATCATGTAAGAGACTCTCATAGGGAAAATTTTCTGAATCAACTCTACAAAAAATATATAAATTCATTCTACAGGAAATAAAACACATTAAAAATAAATAAAAAATAAATAACTAATTAAAAAATAATTACAAGGCTTTGAATAAAAGCACAAATTAAATTCACTATGTGGCATCAATATGTTATCACCGACTACAATCTCTTCCATTAAAAAAATAAAATGTAACAAGTTAATAAGAAAATCTGAAACTTTCAGATTTTATATGATGCCCGAAGTGGCTTTTTTTAATGTTTTGCAAGTTACCTTTATTTATTAAATATAAATGTTCTTCACACTTAAACCATAAAATTCAATTAAACAACAATATCACAAAATATTTAAAAGAGCATATCTTTAGAATTTCCGATACAGTTCTTGCGTGCTATATGTATATTTACAGTGTTGCTATGGCTAGTTTTGAAATCGCAGTTTCTTAATCAAAAACTCACAAATGTTTTACAAAATATGAACTAGATAATAAAACAAATTTCGGCTTCCAGATGCCCATATTCAGGTGGAAACATATGTTATTCAAAATTTGATGGCTCTAGGTACCATTGTTTTATCACAATGCGAGAAACATACAAATATTTATGCAGATTCATTATTTAATTCCTTTAAATATAATACAGGGCCTAATATTTGGTGGCAACAATTTAACAAGTGATTCGCTGTTTATAGTGAATCAACGCAAAATGGCAAAAAGAAATTAACTGCCCTTTTGGGCAAATTACTAAAAATCCACTTTTAATCTATTTAAAAATTAAATTGACATCGATTTTATCTCTAAGAAAAGTTGTTTCAAATGGTCAGACACTCGTAACATGCATTGGCAATGGCCAATACTAATGAGTCATTTAGCCATCTCATTGAAAACACAGCCCAAGCTTACACACTCATGAGAATAGCAAAGTTCTAAAGGACTTTCAGTTTGCCAATGTTTTAAGAACTTCCATGCTACAGAGACAATATACACTTACAAAGCCCTTTCTGGGATTCAAACCTGGGTCTAACAATACAGCAGTCAGTGATGTTAACCACAATACTGATCAAAGTGATTTCTCTAAGGTGAGTAATATAGCCCTTAATCAAAGCTAAAAGAATCATAGTTAGTATAATTTCTCATGTAAAATTAGGTTGAAATATACCATAGTTTTTTACAAATTAGCAAGCTCAACACAATTTCCTTTTTAATTATTTATTTTGACATGCTGCTAAATTAAGAACATATCTAAATTTAAAAGTCAAAGAACAAAAATCACCGTTATATTTACAAATTTTCACGGGACTAGTTTTGATGGTTTTACCGAACCATCATCCTCAGCTATAGATATAGTGAAAAGATAAGAATGGCTAGACAGGAGTTAAGCTGCTATATATTGCTTTGTCATCTACTGATCTTACCATTCTTATCCTATCTAATCTTTTTTCGTTAATTTGCACTTTGGCAGCTGAGGATGACGGTTCAGTAAAACCATCGAAACTAGTCCTGTGAAAATTTGCAAACATAATGCTGTTTTTCTGTTGTTTGACTTCTAAATTAATATTTATTCAGCGTGTTATTTTAACCTAAATTAAAACATATATAACTAACAAAGAAATAATTTTCACTGTTTTTTTCTCAAAAACAGTGAAAATTATTTCAGTGAAATTTGTTTTAAAACAGTGAAAAAAATTTAAGCTGCATACCTACTAATTTAGAAAAATAAGCATTAGTGAAATTAATGTAGGGATCAATGCAAGTAATATTCATCAGAAAAACATATAGTCAAATGATTTCATATGTTGTATTTAATAAAGTTATATAAAAATATTGAATCATTTTACAAAGTAATGCTTCATACAGATTTTTTACAGTTATATTCATTCTTAATTTTATTTCAGACCAGTTGCTTAAAATAGTTATTATAAAAAAATATAAAATATACAATGATTTTAATAAGTACTGATATTTTATTTACGTCTTACAAACAGTTATGACTTGTACAAATTCTTTGCTTTATGCCTCATTTTATCAGGTACTTGCTCAGTCCATAAGATTATACAGCTTTTATGAAAAGTAGCATAATTTAACTCTCTGAGCGCTACGGGTTTAGCCCTGCAATTTCAAAGTTCCTCAAAATGTCATGAATAAGTGGTATTTTCTTGATTTTTTAATTAAAAAATGACTCTCATTTTGTACCAGGATTCCTTTTTTCCCAATATACATCCAAACCGAAATCAGATACATTAAAAACTATCAGAAATTTTCATGTATAATGAATATAGAAGGCAGCCTTCTATGCGGAATTTTCCGGACGTAACGCTGAGAGGGTTAACTTGAGAAATATAGCCAATATGACTTGTAGCAAAAACCTGACTGTTTCTATGCCATCTGCCTGCTATTAAGGATTGTCTACAAGAGAAGACAAAGCTGCTCAGTGACACAATATAGTCTCCCTCACAGACATTTTGTCTACACAAGTATATATTGTATCCAAGTTGCTATGAGATACTAAGCAAATCAGAATAGTCAAAGCAGATGATGTGATTTTTATCTAACAGGAGACCTCTATCAATTTCACAAATAACCTTTTTTTTTAATTCTACACTCATCTTTGGCATTTCTGCCATTAGTCGACGATCAGCCCAATAAAATGATGAGAATATAAAAAGCAAGAATAAAAATTAGCCTCCATAGAGATGTCTCTGTAATGAACTTTAAAGGTACCATTATATATCACCCTGATGACACAGAGAGCAACAAACTGAATCTTTGACTCCAAGCCGATGTAAATCTTGCTTAACTAATCATGGCTAGTTGTCAAACAAAAGAAAGCAACTCCAACAGCCCAAGGTTTCATTATAAAAGAATGAATCTAGGCATTTTCATTATAGTTAGAAATGAAAAGTGACACAGTGAATAGTTTGTGAATCGATGAAAAACACACAATATTTCGACTTTGGCCATTTTTTAATTTATCAGTTGCATATGTTATAGCTGCTATTTCTCCATTAAAATTGTCACAGTGCTTCCGAACAGGACAGCTAATGCTAAAATTACTTGAACAGACCAGCATTTTTAATCACATTTTCTGCTGAACCATTTGTGTAAACATGGAACCACTTGTCTGGAGGGCACCTGTAATGTATGGTAGCCAGATCAGCATTTTAAACTAATTTGGAGTGGAAAGGTGGAATATCATAAGTGAAAAATAACATAAGAAGTTGTGAAATTTTCAATGCTTAACATTTTAAATAAATTGTAATAATAATAATAAGCAGAAGCTTAATAGCAGGCAGAAAGCAACAGTGACTAAAAATGCAAAATATAAAAAATAAGTAAAAATTGTACATTAAAAATAAATACAATCAATGAAGCAAGAAAGAAAAACAATGAATTGCAAAATGCTATATAATATATTTGCACGCAAATCATTCATTTACATAAATGGCTAAAAAAACAATTACTTCATATATAGCATAAAATGCAACATAATTGCTGATAATTAGATTCATGATAAAGCATCATTTTAAGTACACGAATCGAGGAAAAACAAATTTTATCACATTATAAAAAATCTAATAATTATACTTATATACATAGTATAAAATTATGTAAATAACTGAAAAACTTTTATGTATAGTAACATAAAATTGTAATGTTAAATGCAAGAATTTTCGGAATTTTACATTAACAGAGCTCTGTTAATATGCATCAGCAAATGCATCGGGAGCGATCGAGCTAGCTAGACCCAGCCCCCAAAATTGAAAAAACATTTAACAGCAAGAAAATGAGTATAATCAAATGAAAACAGATGATAGTGTAAGCTTTTCCTGTCTGTTGTAAGCTTTTCTTGTCACTTGTATGAAGGTGAAAAAATATTCTATTTGTAAAGAAATACAGAATATGAATATCAACAGAGAATTAAGATCTTGAATAAATACTGCATCATAAAGTTAGTAAAAATAACAAAAACTTTAAACACTTCATGGCTGATGTTATTCGATAAGCTAAATGATGGCTCTGTTACTTCCATTACTTTTTGGACATGATTTCCAAGCACAATTTCATTGGCTGTCACCGATAAGTCTTCAGTAACAACATATCCCCCTCATCATGTACAATGAGCAGAACTCTCAGTGCAGGTGCAATAACAAATTAAATTTTAAAATTAAATCTATACATTGCTGAATGGAAATACACTGGAACACAAGAATATTTTACTTAAGGCATTTGCAACACACTGGTTTAAAATAACTGAGTTTGTGGATTAAATTTAAAAGATAAATATCTTACATTTAGCCAATGGCAGTATTCTGGCATGCTGAAGGTAAAAATGTTTACTTCAAGTAGTAGCAACATGCTATTAAACTGTTGAGTTTGTTAATAAAAAAATTAATTTAAGTCACATAAAATATAAAATAAGTAAAAATAAATTCAAAATTTAAGCTTTGAAATGCACAGACTCAGGTGAAGGACTTTATGTCTTCAAAATTTCATGATTCTAGACAACCCCATTTTCCCACAGTATGCAGAATATACATATATACTGACTCTTCATTATTTAATATTAGAGATAATCAGAAAATTAGCAAAGTCACAACCTCGTGTTTGGTATAGATTTTAGCCAAAGCTATCAATTGCAAGGGCATATAATATAAATCTGACTACGGTTCACAGATTTCTTTGCTCCTGATATATATAAGGACCCGTACCTATTTGTTCTTGAAATCAGTAGTGTCTAGACAAATCTAGGCCAAACACCTGGTTGTTGCTCTGCTAATATTATGTTAGCATGTTTAAAGCAGTATAGCTATTTTTCACTTTTCAAAATTATTTTGAGTACTTTACAATATAGCATTCAAATCTTTAGTATTTATTGCAAGATACAGATAATGGGGCACTAAGGATGTTCAATTTAGTTCATCACCAGATTCTTACCTTGCACATTTATACATGAAAAGCAAAACTGAAAATGTGATATTTAGTAATTTAACTACTGAATTAAAGATAAATAAAGCAACCATTTCCCCTTCAGGTAATAAATTGATAGGCTTAAATACCATTCTCAGATAATAAAATATTGGAGAATTTTTAACACTTATTTATGAATTCCATCGGTAAATTAAAAAAATAACGTAACAATTCATATATCTTTTACATAATGTATCTATATAAAAAGTTAGCAGATATAAAATAATCATACAAAAGCTACTAAAGTAAATGGATTCAGAAAGATAAATATTACTACACTCTAGAAAGAGAGAACTGTGTCTTTATTGCATCACATTTTAAATTTTATTTCCATGTAGTAATCTAAAATCTAGAAAAATGTTTAAAAGCAAGTACATTATTTAAAACATAAAATTATTTAATGAAAAACTTACAGCATTGATTTAACAGCCTTTGGGCAGATTTCAGAAGATTCATTGCTTCAGTTTGTTGATCTATCTGCAAAAAACAATATGTAGTATTGTTTAAAATCAGCAATATGAAATACTACTTTTATCAGTTTTTTTTTAAATACATATAGTAAAATCAGTATTATAAAATATTATTTTTATCAAAAACTACGAATTAAGAGTTTAAAATCATGTTTTTGATATCAAACATATAAAACACTTACAATTTAAATGCATTCAGACATACAGTTGTTATAATAAGTTAATGGTTTCAACTAAATCTTTTCTAAAAACATTCAAATTGATATCTTAATCATAAATGCTTTAAAAAGACAGCATGCTCCCCTACAATGAAGCGCCACTGAATTAGATACCTGATCAGTAGAAAATCACCTTTTTTTTGGGCTTTGATAACAGTTGCGACATGATAAGGCATGGATTTAACAACTCTTTTACAGAAATGCTCCAGAACACTGTCAACCAAATATCTTGCAAAATTTCCTATAAATCACTTGAGAATGTTGGAAGTGAATGACATGCATGCACAAAATTTTCTAGAATATTCCAAAGTTGTTTAATGGATTTCAAACAAGTCTTCTTAGCAGCCTTATCAGGAGGGAAAATTCAATGAAATGCTCTAATAAACCAGCCGGTTGCCAACCAGGATTTACTTGCGACAGGACCAATTATCCAGCAAACATATTTCATTTCTCTCCAGACGGCACAAAAACATGAAATAATGTCAGTGGGTGCTCTCCAGATCTAAACACTTACATGACAGTGCTTTATACAAGTTCCCAAACATTGCTACAAGAAAATATTCCAGACCATCACTGAGCTGTCATGATCTTGTATTATTCTAATAAGGTGGATCAATGGTTTCATGGAATTGGTACCATATTCTTAGTCTACCATCTGCACTATGCAGTGACAATAAAGATTCATCACAATGTTACTTCCAATCACTGATGGTCCAATTATAATGATCTGTGGTCCACGCAAGATGCCGAGTCCGGTGACATGCAATAAGAAGTGGGTCTTCAGCTTCTGAAGCCCATATCATGATATGAGCACTACATGCTCCAACAACTGATTTGTCTGACTGACTCAACTGGGAGTTAATTGATGACACTGGCAACATACAATATAGCCAAGTTTTTGAAGATCCTAATAACTCAAAGTTGTTTGTTTCTTGCAGTCTACTCAATTCCTCTTTTTACTGCTAACTATAATCTTTATACTGTAAAATAAGAAAACAACAATTCTTAAATATATTTCTGAATGACACAAGTGTCGGGCACCTATTATGTCCTTGATCAAAAGCATTTAAATTGCAAGTTTTACCCATTAAGATAGTTTTAACAACTGCTTGCAGAGGGCTACACTTCCAACTATATATATCTTATAGGACAAAAGGTCTAGAACTTTCCACCATCGCCCTTTTGCTGGCAGTTGACTTGCCATCAAGTAGAAAGGAAATATATAACAATGGTTGCTTATATAATTACTTGTTTAATACTATGGAACACAAATAAATTTCACATCATCAGAAAATTATGTCAATATCAAACGGAACAGAATTATTACATTTCATAATTATGGGCTGAACCTCTGACATACTGTTATATTATCATTTCTAAAATTATGCAGATACAATGCTTACGTGGTTCATCTAAATTTCTTGAAATTTTAATCAGCTAATCCAGGGAAATCACTTATACAAGCAAGAAATTAACATTTTTATGAAATCTTAATTGAAAATGGAATTACTTAGGAATCTTGTTAGCACATTACTCTCTTAAAATTAATAAATATGTTTTATTTATTTTTATGTTTTTCTATTGTTTTCGGGTTTCTTAAGGTTTAAATACGCTAAGTTGATAGGGCCTTTTTACATCTTTATTGGGAGATTTAAGGATTTTACAGGTTTTATATTTCATTTTTTTGATGTTTTGGTTCTAAATTTATTACTTTTTATCTATATTTAATTAATATTTCCCCAGAAATGATCTGGAATATTTTTGTTATAAAAAATATCCCAGATCTGTGAAATATTCTGTGGTAAAAAATGTAAAAAAAATTCTGTGGTACTATATAGATAAAGCAATACACTAATAAGTTAACTTATATGTCATACGTAATGATACATTTGTATAAGATTGTTTATAAAAATATTTCATATATTATTCAAAAGGTTTTAATAGAAGGAATTTGCTGAAATGTAAATGTTAACAAACCATCTGGTTCTTTAAATTGCAAAATTTTAGAAAGATGTTTTACATCAACTTAGCAATGTCGGTAGAACAAATTTTTGCATGCGATTTATTTTAAATACTTGCATGAAATCGAATTTTAATATAAAATCTAAAACAAAATTCAATTTTTAAAATTACATAAGGACAATGCTCCTTAAGTATCATTTTAAAAATGGTTGATTTATTTAGAAATCTCAAAGCTGTAATAACAATATTTGCTAAGACTGTGTTTTACATATTCTTATTAGTGTTAACTTTGCCAATATATTGTCACTTCTGAATTTTACAAAACTCCAAGATCTATATTATCTATAATTATCTGTGATTGTTCCTGATTTTGTGATCTGAGATTAGCTGGGATTGCTCATGTATGGTTTTCAACAATTTCAGAAAAAGTGACTACAAGGAAAAGAAGGAAAACCAGAATAGCCAAACTACCTAACACTTTTAAACTCTGGTACAAATATCTAGGACACAACTTTTCTTGTTCAGCTGCAGGAATATCATGTACATCACACTTATTTCAGGACAAATACTGAGCATATTTTCCCACATAATAAATATTTTAGATTTATACATAAAACTACTGCACAGCACTACGAATTTTTTTGTGGTAGTTTTTTTCAAGAAGCAGACTTTTAGGTGAAATAAAACTTAGTTTAATATAATGTATAAGGAATATTATTCATAAAAAGAAAATACATTTCCTGATGACCCACACCTCACATTTCAACTGTCAGTAAAATCAATTTTTAACATGTGACAATGTACATATGACATATCCGGTTGCATACCGATAGATTTACATGCTTTATGTTTAATTGACACCCTTCTAATGAACCATAATGGAGTTGTCGAATTAATAAAATATTTCTTTATACAGTCAAAAGTCGTTAATTCAGACACCCATAATTCGGAATGATCTATAATCCGGACCTCAAAGCTAAAAACTTTCTGCGCATGTGCCGCGTTGGCACAGGCATTTTACGCGTGCATGTAAGACCTTGACTACTGCGCATATGCGTGTGCGCAAGTGCAGAATACGTTTTCGCCTGCGCGTTTAATGTATAACGGATGGTGTAAGCTAAAATTATCTAATTATCTATTTCAGTTAATGTTCGTGATTGCATTGTTCCTTAATCTTCGAATTGGATCCCGCTTATTATTTTTTGCAGACTGTAAGAGCAATTTTATAAAAGTAAACTTGAACTTTCGATTATGTCAAATAGAATACCGATGCTGGAACTTCCAAAGGATCTACAAAACGAAAGTATGTTTCGATGTCCAACAAACAAAAAGTGGAATTGCTGCAAAAAATGGATAAAGACATGAAGAATGTGACAGAGAGGTTAGTGAAAACGAAAAAATTTCGATTGACAAGTTAGTCGGTATTCTTGGCACAGCAATTAGCGGGACTTGAACAGCGGAACTTTGTAACCGAACAAGAAATTATGTCTTTTTATAGAATTAAAGAGAAAGTATTATCACATAAAATGAAGCAACTTAAACAACTTACATTGAGAGAAATGTTTAATAAAGTAAACAAATAAATATTAAGCTTTTTTTTTTGTAAATTTTGATACCCTTTAGATCATAATTGTTCTTTATTTCATAAATTACGGTTTCATATTTTTAATTTTAGAATTTCTGCATGCCATCTTACGAGATTTAAACTGATGATCTATAATCCGGAAAAATCGATAATCCAGAATCGCCGAAGTCCCGACGTCCAGATTAACGACTTTTGACTGTATTAATTATGAACAGAGCTGTATCTATGAGACAAAGACTGCCAAACATTTCCTAGTATTTCACAAAGTCGTGAATTCATTGGTGACTTTTTCTGGGGTTGAGACTAATGTGAAAACACCAAAAAATTGCATATTTTCATTCTGATAACGTTTAGGTCTAGACTTTTCAGGTTCCTGTCTACTTCATACACAACAAATTATAGCTTGAAAAGTTAGAACTTTATCAATATATTCTCCCTATGAAAAATACTTAAAAGCATAATAGCAATTTTCTCCAAAGAAAAATTGTTCAGTTTCCTGTAAGTAATAAATCTTTGTAGTCTGAAAGATGCTCTACAAACTTACGACACACAGAACAACAAGCTAACAGGTCCTCAAACTAATAGTTTATCAGAGCGTAAGATTTATTAAACAAGAATTAAGATGTAGGCTTTTCTTAATCCAGAAAAGAAAAAAGGTAGTACAAAGTTGCATTTATTGGTGTGTTTTAATTATGGCAAAGCACACTAGGGCCATCTGCCTAAGGGGAGGGACGCCTTCGTAAAGGACTTTCTAAGGGGAACTGGCTCGTATACACGTTACACATGGGGAAAACCACGAAAACGCCCATGCAGCCAACCCGTTCGCGGGATTCGAACCTCAGACGGAACTACCACTGTTCAGCGACTTCACCGCTCGGCCTCTGGTGGGCCAAGCGGTTGACGACATCTGCATTTATTGATTTATTTTAGCTTCTGATAGTACTGTATTCTTTTGTGCTATGGTATATTATATATAGGTGTATATAATGTATACATAGGTGGGCTTTCACTGTTCAGTAGAAACTAACTGACAAGTTGAGTTTATTACTGAGTGATTTAGCGAGATAAGTTTTGAAATTTGAAACATTTGTTTCATGTTAAGATCTCTCATGAAGCAACTTTTAGCCATTTTTTTTCAACAGCAAAGCAACTTATCACCTTAAACTTTAAACAGGGTTCATAGCCACATTTTAGTTAAAAAAATAAACACCTATAAGCACTTTTCAAGCACATTTTAAGAAAAAATATAAGCACCTGTCTAATTACATTATACACAACTGCATAACCTTAAAAGAAAAATTAGACTTGCAATTTAAAATTTGAGCAATGCAATATTTATTAAGAGAATGGGCATTACCTCAACCATGGAAAACAATTAACTTTTTTTTTTTTTAAATTTTAAATGACAGTTCTATTTACAGAATTAGTTTACAATGAGAGGAAAAAAAAAAAAAAAAAAAAAAAAAAAAAAAAAAAAAAAAAAAACCCTATGCAGAACTAAACTATATTACAAGATTTAATGATGAAATTTCAGTTCAAAATATAGAAAATAAATAATAATAAGCCATATTAATTGTATTCGCTTGGCACCTAATAATAAATACTATTTATTTTTCCACTTATATTAATATTTAAATAATTTAACTTAAATCAAAATTCTGAACATTTTCTAAATTTTCATTGCATAACAGTTTTCCCTTAACATATATTCCAAGCAAAGTAATTTAAGTAAAAAAGAGGAACATTTCTGAAATCAGGAGACGGGAAATTGCTTCATGCAGTCATCCTTTAACAGTAAAAGCTTAACTAACCCGCATACTTGGAAATTGCCGAATATTCCGTATAGTCGAGCGTAACTGGAAAAAGAGGAGGGGGGGGGCAGATTGTAGCTGTTCTTTAGATTTCTCGGCTAAATAAATGATTTTCACATTTCGATATGTGCCTCATATAAAAATAGACCAACAGAACTGAGAAATATTCTGCTTAGAAAGCACAGTAAAACTCTTTTAAGTGTTCATAAATAAATCTCAGACTGAACATCAAAATTAATTCTCTCTGCAAAATACCGCAAACGTTATTGTGCAATACATGCAGCGTAATTCTTCCATACGTGACATACGCAATCGGAATCAACAGCTGCCACTATTCGGAGAATAAAGAACTAAATAAAGGAAAAGAAAGAGACTTACTAATCTGGGCTGTTTTTGATTCTAATTTTGAACAGATTGCGTTAAATTTCCGGATTAGAATCATTCTTCGCTTGGGTTGGGTAGACCGCAAAACTTTTAGTCCTATTCAATCCAGATTGGACAGTGACAAAAATAATAATAATAAAAAAAAAAAAAAAAAAAAAAAAAAAAAAAAAAAAAGGCCGCTGCTTCAATATTGGAGATTTTGCGGAGAAAGGGGAGAACCTCCCAACCTCCGTACTGTATAATGTATAGGGAAAAAAAAAAAAAAAAAAAAAAAATATTATTCTGACTATTCGATTACTTTCCTTTTATTTAAGCCATTCCGAATATTATTCCTCAGAAAGCTAATCTGTGTAAAAATAAACCCATTTTTGGAAGTTTATCTACACTTCAGCAGCTACTGCAACTATATTATTATAAACATTCATATATATACATATACTCATAATATAAGCATAATGATCATATTAAACACGAATATGAACTGACCACACGGAACGAGAATGCAAATTATTAAAATCTTGATAGAAATTCAAACGTGTGTAGTATTTGGGTGGGAGGAAAAGAATACCGAATGTACCGGAATTTTCTACGGTTTTCGCAATTCTTTGACCAATAAATAGAACGATGTGCACCTGTCTGTACTCTCGCGCGCACCATAGGTTACGTTAATGCAGAGAAATGGGAAAAAGATATTTCCAGGAGTATGATTCACCACCTGACGTTCCATATAAGGAAGAAAAGTTGTTTATTTAGTTTCTGCTTTGGTTATGGGGGGGGGAATGCGCATTCATTAAAAAAAGCACTAAAAGCAAAAAATAAGCACTGAAAACAAAAAGATAAGGGCTTTAAAGAAAAAGTAAGCACCTATAAGGGCCTTTATATTTTATTTTAAATTATAAGGACTTATAAGCACTTGTAAGGACCGCTACGAACCCTGTTTAAAAGTTGTTTTTTTTTTTAAATTTTAAATCTGGCTTGCTTATGTAAGGGGATTTTAATGATCTGAATTATGATACACGTATGAAAATCAAAAAAATAATTATGCAACAAAAATTTGTAAAACTTACCTCCATACTTGAAAGAATAAGACACATATCAACATCACTGTTATTAGTTCCAAGACCATTTACAGAAGAACCAACAACCCTTAGGTCACAACCTGAGAGGGAGGAAAATTCAGTGCTTACTGAAAACATTTCGATATTTGTAGATAGTGATTTAAATATTATTGAAAACTATTTATAAATAAATTTAAAATTACTGGCAGATACAAACACACTGCTCAGCACATACATTGATGATTACACATACAGCACATACACTCATGTTTATTCAAACACATTGTGCAGTACATGCATCTGAGGATTGCCTACAGTTGCAAGTGTATTTGAAAATATGCCAAAAATATGGAAATTTTCCAGAATACTGAAATCAGGATTGCTATTAATCAGAAAACTGATCAAACCATAATTATCGTATCTTTTCCTTTACCTTGAATAGAAGTATTTTGTAATTTATCTTCAAAGACGTGAAGCAAAGCAATTTGTATTTCAACTATATCCATTTTGGATTACTTCTACTGCATCTGCATGGCCTAATCATCTAGTATCACATCAAAATGAAATATATCTGAGTTTTGATGAATTTAAATTTCATGAATTTCTGAATGTTAGGGGATGCAGAAGAAAAATGTAAAATTTTTTCTCATTAAATTGGAATGGCTTATAGAGTACATTCCATGGTGATATTTCCATTTGAATCAAATAAATGTGCTGTTTAATCTTGGCTTGGAGACTTTTTGACATAATGAATTATTTGAGCACATATTTCTTCCGGAAGTGTAACGGTAGTAAAAAAGTTTCTTTCCTTCTAAAAAGGCGGTTAGCATTTTTAATTTTTGCCCATCTAAATATTAGATACAATGGATATGGAATTCAGTGATTCGTCTGATGAATCCGTATGTTGGGTCATAGTCCACTGTGTATGTTAACCACTTCGAGATCTCACAATTGTGCCATTGTTCGTGGAAAAGATGATAAATTAAAACCAGATACAGTTTTTTTCTTTCAATAGTGCGAAAAAGGGAATTGATATATCTGACCAAATCTGTTCCTATTATAAACGTCTACGGAAAACGGTAAAATGGTATCGAAAATTTGTCATGGAGCTAATATGTGGGACCTCTTTAGTAAATGTGTGGTACATCCACAAAAATTATTGACATTATTGATTATCTATTGAAGAGTGTTGAGAATCCTCCTAGTGAAGAATTAATAGTAAGTAGACTGAAAAAACATTTTTAAAGTTCACACCAAGGATCCGCAAGGAAGATGAGGAAAAGATGCAAAGAGTGTTACAAACGCTTAATAAACTTAAAAGGTACACAGCACGCAACAAACAAATCAAAAAAAAAAAAAAAAAAAGGTAATGACCCTTTGTAGCAGCTGTCCGGATAAGCCGGCACTCTTGCCATAAAATGTTTTAAAAAATTACATCGGTTACATAAGTAGTTATACTAATTCAGAAGTCAAACAACAAAAATCAGCGTTATATTTACAAAATTTTCAAAGGACTAGTTTCGATGGTTTTACCGAACCACCATCTTCAGCTGCAAAACCGCAAATGAACAAGATAGGAAATAATGATTAGATAAGATAAGAATGCCTGGACAAGAATAAGCAAGTTGTGCCATCTGTTGGCGAAACCAGAACTAAAACATAATTTCTCTTCTATAAAAGCCGAAGGCAAATTTGGATTGGAATTAGGATCGTTAACTAGAACAGAAAGATTTTTATGGATGTGAAATGCCTCTAGAAAACCCAGTTCTCCAATGGAAGATGTTTTTTGAATAATTTTGGCAGCAGAAAAATTGAAAGGATTTTCGGACCAACAATGTTGAGCAACAGAAGACTTCTGTGTTTCCTTTTTTCTAACGTATGCCTCATGTTCTTGACGCGAAATTTTAAGGCTCTCTTAGTTTGGCCAATGTAAATTAAACCACACTGGCAAGGAATCCTATAAATACCCCAGGAATTCATATCCGGAATGGGGTCCTTGAGTATGGAAGTTCGGAATTTTATTGATGGGAGAATAAACAACCCGAAAGTTAAATTTCTGCAAAATATGTGCAACTTTATAGCTAATTGATGGAAAGAAGGGAATGACAACAGAATTTTTTATAATCTCCTAAAACAAGAGTGTGGCCTTTTAGTGTGTTGAGATGAGAATTTTTTAACTGCTTGATTAATAATGTTGGGTGAAAAGCCCCTGTCAATAGCTATTGCTTTTAAATAATTTAGTTCTTCATCAAGGGCTAGTTTGGAGGAGCAAACTTGAAGAGCACGGAAAAACATAGGAATAAAATGAAGCTAACTTTTGTTTAGTCGGATGACATGATTTAAAGTGTGGTGGAAGGCAAACCGATGAAGGTTTACGGTAAACCGTAGTACTGAAGTTGGATGTGTTACGTGTGACCAGAATGTCGAGAAACGGAAGAGAATTGCAAGTCTCAAGTTCAAAAGTGAACTGAATAGCAGGATCAATAGAATTCATTGTTGAAAGAACTTTATTTAAATCATCTTTATTACCTTCAAACAGGGTAAAAGTATCGTCTACGTAGCGGAACCATGCCGGGAAGTTTAAAGTTTCAAACAATTTTGATTCATAATAATGCATGTAGATATCAGCCAGGATGGGACTGAGGGGGCTTCCCATGGCTAATCCCTCAGTTTGCTTGTAATATTTATTTTGGAAAACAAAATGTGTTTGTTTCAAACAGAGTTGAGTGAGAGAAATTAGCTCATCAATTTCGATGCAAGAGAAATGAAATTCGCGAAGTCTGGTTTCTAGACATCTTAATGCACCCTCCACTGGGACATTGGTGAATAATGATTTTACATCAAAAGAAACCATGAGTAAATTACTAGGAGAAATGTTTTTTAACCTTTTTTACAAACTCTATTGAATTTTTTATGGTGTAAATGTTATTGTCTAATAGAGTTGAAAATCTAGAAACTAAATATTTAGCTAATGGATATACGAGGCAGTACCTAAATTTGATACAATAGGGCGGAAAGGAATACCATTTTTATGAATTTTGGCAAGAGCATATAATCTGGCACAATTCGGAACAGATGAGATAAGCGAATGTTTTAAGTTGCTTGAAATGATTTGCGAAGATTTGATCGCAGTTTTATTTTTGACAAGTCCGAAGTTGAAAGATCTTTAGGGATGGGATTATATGGTCCTTCTTTTAAGAGTTTAGTGACACCATCGATGTAAGTGTTCTTATCCACGACGACTATCTGGCCATCTTTGTCGGCCTTTGAAATGATAATATCCGGGTTAGAATGAATTTCGCACAATGTAGCTCTTTCTCCTCGCAGTTAGATTTGGTTTCAAAGGTTTATTATTGAATTTCACATTATGAGCGATAAGATGCCTAATCATTTCTTTCTGTGAATCTGAAACTTTACTGAACTTGAAAGCTTTTTCGATAGGAGCCAAAATCTTTGGAATCGAGGGTTTACAGGTTTGTGAGAAGTTAAAATTATATTTTAGAATTCTCTCTTGTTCTTCTGAAAGACTAACATTAGAAATATTAACTATTGGCTTGATGTTTACAATGGGAAGATTTTTTGAACTACTTGAACTGGAAGACTGTAAAAGAAGTTTTTTGAATTTAACTGCAAGGGTGTTTTTATGACGGTTAACTGCATTCTCCATTCTAGACCAAGACTTTTGTTCAAGGACAGTGAATTTTGGATATGATTTAGCGAGTTCCAGATGAAGCTAGTTTTTAGAGGCTAGCTTGGAGATGGCTTCTTATTCTTGTCCAGGCATTCTTATCTTATCTAATCATTATTTCCTATCTTGTTCATTTGCGGTTTTGCAGCTGAAGATGGTGGTTTCGTAAAACCATCGAAACTAGTCCTGTGAAAATTTTGTAAATATAACGCTGATTTTTGTTGTTTGACTTCTGAATTAGTATTTATTCGGCGTGTTATTGTGTCTTAATAAGTAGTTATATTTTGCTATATTTAATGTATAGATTAAATTATAAGTTATGTATTTTGTGTCAAATTCTTGATTATAAGGTAAAAGTGTTAATGTATAATGTTAAATCAATAAAACTACATTTTGTACTACGTATTTTTTTATATACAAATGTTGCCCATCGGTGATGCATGCTGCCCCACGGAACAATCTAGCATGAGCCAACAGTGGGTCAGGCTGCCCCATGGAACAGACAAGCATGGGCCACCGGAGGTCATGCCGGCATCAATTAAGGATGATGTCAAAGAAACTTCTGCTCAACTCGTTTATGGCTCAGCATTAAGATTACCTTCCGATCTAGTAACAAGTGATGCCATAAACCAGACCTTAAATTCTGCATATGTACACAGTTTACTTCAAATAATGAGATCTTTAAATCCTATCTCTACTGACCTACACAGCTGTCTCAAAATTTTCATCAACCACTCATTAAAAACCTGTTCTCATATATTTTTAAGATCTGATAAAGTTAATCCTCCATTCACACCACCTTATACTGGATCTCATTTAGTCGTTGACAGAAATTATAAGAATTTTATTATTGATGTAAATGGCAAATGTACTACAGTTTCAACTGATAGCGTAAAACCTGCTTACCTCCTGCCAAATGACGTTACTAACACCTCATCTTTACCTCCAGTTTCAACTCCCTCTCTACGATGTTTTAATCAAACATTTAACACTAAAAGTGAGCATAAAGCCTGATTTCCAAAGCATTCAGTCACAGACTAAGTTCCTTTAGTAGAAACTTGTACTATAACGTTTTATATTATGCGTATGTTTCTAATGTATCTATATAATAAAATATATTTTTACGTCAATGCTGTTTTATTCAATTATGGAGTCAGATCAACCAATACCACCTTCAATAGCAACCACACTTCAAATTCAATATGCACTGCACATGCACAAGCAAATCTCTCAATTCTCAGGCCATTGGCTGTCCGCACACTTTCCTAAGAGTGCCTTCCCCATATTATATATATATAAATAATAAATAAATAAATAAATAAATAAAGGCTCGATTAATTTTTTTTTTAATCATACTCACAAAGCACTTACATATGACAAGTACTTTTACACACAAAGAATTAAAAATATTTAGGCATGGTATAGCGAAAGTCCGGCCGTCCCTAATTTTGGCTACCCGCGTACTTTTATGTGCTGCACCGCTACTAAGAACGGCCCTGCCAATTCGAGGTTACTGGAAGCCAAAGTTCCTAGAAACTTGCTTTGCCTTTCTAAAAGACAATCTGATTGGAGCTGTGAAAATTGGCTCTACCCAGCTACTCGAATGATGCTGACGCAATACATAATTCGCTAGGAAAGTGATAGCTTTCAATGTTGGCGCAAAACTTACTTTTTTGGGTATCGCTGTATGATATTTCCCAACTTCTTGGTTAATTTTCTAATTCCCCAACTTTTTAAGGTTTTCCCAGTTTTCAAGGTAGCATGGCAACCCTGTATATATATTAAATGTATGTTTAACAGCAGTTTATTTTTAATTATGAATTTTGTGTAATGCAAGTACAATATGTTGGTCACAAATATTGGGCAGCTGGGCAGAGCCATAATATTGGATATTTTTTTAAACGCTGTTTATCTTCACTTTAATTTTTTTTCTGACATCTAAATTTCCTTCAATTTTTTTGATAGATACTGTAGATTTTCTAGCTATTTCTTTCACATGATGTTTTAATAGTACATTTCGTTCAATCATCCTTTTATTCCCGTCCTCACCACCTTTTCCTTTATATATCTATTCAGATTTTCTATTTTTCCTGTTCATTTGCATGCTGATACCTAGAAACATCCTTTTTTTTTTTTTTTTTTGTAAATAATATAAACAAAGTAACAATTTCCTGTTTCAACTTTTTTTCTCTTTTATCTGCATTTTTTTCTAATTGCGATTCACGTTGACAGTTTATATTTAATACTTTATGGAATTCTGATAAAAATACATCACCAAATTAATAAATCAAAACAGCAACTGCTATTGCAAATGGATGAAAAGTGAACAATGACTGTACATGCACAATATGTGTATTTGGAGTTACCACATTTATACATACCTCACATACACTACACATCACATAACTTGTGCAGTATGTAACACTGAAATACTTACATATATATACATAATGAAACATAAAATTCTAGTCTTAAATGAGACGTCTACAGGATACCGTCTGCAGCTCTGGAATATATTTGGATGATTGCATGCCTACAGTAATCGTGCAGTCATCTAGTTGCTGTCCAAACCCTCATTAAATTATACCCTGCGGCACAATTGCCAGAGGGAGCTGTGTAGTTTTTCCTACTTAGAACACAAAAGGGAGGGGAGTATCAGACATTATATTTATAATGCAAAATCTAATAGGTGGTGGTAACAATACAAATCTCAAGTGTAAATGCTTCATAAAATGACTGGCATTTACACTTGAGAAAAAAGTGAAATATATTATTTAGCCAATGCATTTAATCCCTGGGAATAAAACCAGAACCAACTACAGATTTAGCTATTTGACTAATGATGAAGTTGCTCTCAAGGCATCCAAATGGTTAAATATTTAATTAGTTCAAAATACTGTTAAAAACCCTATCATTTTGGAAACACATTTAAAAGTTCTTTAATTTATGTAAACGTTTAAAGTAAACAGAAAATTTTATGAAATGTTATTTTAATTCATATTTTATGAAAAAATACTAAGCAGAAGTTTACAGATAACTTACTAGGAAAGATGCGGTTTAAAACAGAATGAACGGCAGTTCGAAGATGCATTTTTTTAAAGTACATATCATCTCTCTGCCTTGTTTTTAAGTAGTGATCCCATATTCCTGAAGATACCTAAAAATCAAACAAAATTAAAATCATAGTTTTAAACAGTCAACTTAAACTATCTTTATAAAAAAAATATCTTTTCATGAAATAAATTTGATGCTTATACAGGGTAATTCACTACCAGACCAACAAACTTTCAGGGTATATAGGGGGTAAAGAGATGACCCGGAATTGCATAGGAATGCAGGGTCACAAATGCTGTAGTTGCGAGCTATGCTCCAATGAAGCAGAGAAAAAGAACAGAAACATCAACATATTAATGGGACAGAAAACATTTCATTGACAGGTTGTACTACAGCAGGTGTTTGAAATTCTGACCAGATGTTGTCTGACAGGCCTGACAGTGATGCTGCATGGAATTCCTTATGTTCTGGAAGATTCCTCGCATGCCACATATCCTCCCAGCAGCTACAGATAATCGAGTGATGAGGTCTTCAACTGAAGGAATGGGCATTCAGTATACCAAACTCTTTATGCTATTACAGAAGAAATTCATGCATGATAGATCCGGTGATCTGGCAGGCCATGAACTGGACAACTATAACCTATTGACCACTGTCCAAAGGTTACGTCGAGATGTCAATCGTGAAATGTGGAGGAGGCCCAACATGCTGGTACCATATGGAGTGGTGGCTCATGGACCAGTTGGTTCTGTAGCTCAGGGTGGGACGACATCAAGTTTGCTAGGTAATGTCCTGCTATGAAGTGCAGCCTGCGTAGTACTGGCAGGTAGCATTTTAATGGCCAGTCAGATCGCCAGGTGTGCATGCTCCCCGCCACAGCAAAACCTGAGAACCGGAAGTGGTGACCCCGTGGGCAAGGTAGCCATGGTTGTACAGAAAATTTTAAAGTCTGTTACTTTGGATTGGGAGCCCGGAGTGGTAGCTGGATATGTTTGTATTTCTAACCCTCTCGGAGAACTATGTCTAGTGACCCAACCCCTTGCATTAATATGGGGATTCTAAGTTGGGGCCAAATTGTGTAGTGTCCAAGAAGGAGCATGTAGACAAGTATTATTATGCCCTACTGTCCAAAGGACTGGGCAGAAGATACAGTGCAATGAGGTATTCTCCAAGAATGCAGCCCAAAGATTGACTGAGAAATGCTCGAACTGCACAAAGTTGAGTATGATGAGGGTTCTCCAAAGTCCACACATGGGCGTTATGCTGACTGAATGTTCCCAATGAGGGAAGCACGCTTCATCTGTGAACAATATGGACACAGTTAATAAGCTGTCTCTAGCACTCTGTTGCAGGAACAATATAGCAAATGTCTTCAGGAGTGTATAATCCTCCTCTATTAATTGGACATGGTGAAAATGGTATGCGCTTATTTGGTTTGCTGAGAGTATCCAGAAAATGAACTAAGGTAAACCTACTTGTTGGGCTATCACTCAAGTACTTGTACTTGAATTGTCTTCTGCCAGACGTAAGACCACCTCCTCATTGCCAGGTGTCCTTGTCGTTCACTACCAATTCATTGTAATTCTTGTTAAACAACCAGTCTCATGTAACCTTCTGTTCACACTTGTGAAGGTCATGTGATGTGGAGCACGCCTGCTTGAGTAATGCTTCTGGTACAACCACAGAGTGGCGTGCCAGTTACAATCCACAGATCCATAAATGATCAGCATGTCCACCAGTTCATCCTTTGAATAAGTGTTCATCCTACTACCTCTGGAAACAAATCACAATGATGACTTCTAGCAAGATCGCTATTTATGCAACCTTCCATTCAGCACCATCTACTGCAAGACTGGTGGGAGGAATCTTCCAGAACATAAGGAATTTTATGCAGCGCTGCTGTCAGGCCTGCCTGATGACTTCTGGTTGTAATTTCAAACACTTGTTGTAGTACATCCTTTCAATAAAATGTTTTTTGTCTCACTAACGCATTGCTGTTTCTGATCTTTTTCTCTGTAAGCTCACAACTACAGCATTTGTCAACCTGCATTTCTATGCGATTCTAAGTCATCTTTGTACCCTCTAGACAACACACAACCAAAAAGGGAGGTGTATTATTAACATATTTATAACACCCATATACAAAATTTCAACATTTTGAGGCAACTCATTTTTGAGTTATGTGAGATACATACGCACATATGTATCTGTACCTACATATGTATGTATAGACATCATAAAAAAAAAAAAAAAAAAAAAAAAAAAAAAAAAAAACTTCTGAATCCCTTTTACAATCTGTTTTTGGAAAAAAGTCCCTCATTCTGTCCTTACATACAGATGTTAAGATAAAACATAGTTAAAATTGCATTCAGTAGCAGTCAAAATGGATATTTTCGTTGAAATATGATACCCAAAATTTTCAAGATTACAATGCTTCACATAAGGAAGTAAAAAAATAACACATTATTCTAAAGCATTTCTAAAGCAGAACTATGGGAATTCTTTTGAAGAAATTGAAAATTTCATCTAAAGAAAGAAAAAAAAAAAAAAAAAAAAAAAAATGTCTAATTTGTACTTTATTTTAAACTAGCTATCAATTAAGACTTCAATTATTCTAATTACTTTAAAAAAAGTTTCCATAATTTTAAAAGCTCAGTATTTGATATTTACAAGAGCCCACATCCTAATGTAATGATTACAGATATTTGTATGCTCGTAAAGAAAACTGCTATCCAGATTTAATAATTATCTTTTCATCTTTATCGTTCATGTCAAGTTCCATAAGTAAACAATAATTTTAAGTGCACTCTTATCTGCTAAAGGCACAAGCATTAAAAGTTTAAGCAATTTGCTAGACTTTGATTTGCAGATAAGGTGATTTTAATAATATTTCATAAACAGCTTCGTTTCACATACCTTAGAAAGCATTTTTCAGTCTTAAGAAAAATTATACAATACTTAAATTTTTAATGCTACATATAACTTACATTATGCCACTCATCTCTAGGAATCTGTGGAAACCTTTTGAAAGGAATGCTCATTGCAGCATTTTTGCGATTGTTCAGTCCATGCCGATGATTATAATGCCTGTGATTGAAGTTCTGATTACGGGAACTGTTACCATGCTCAGAGTTTCTTCTAAAAATACATAACTTTTTTTTAAATAACCAAATAAAAAATACTAAAACTATTTAAGCAAGAAAATTAATGACAAAAAGACAAAACACACACAAGATACAAAACATACCATACACAAATATTTCTTGCAAACATTTAAGTCATTCTTCTGATGTGATGATTTGATTCAGATGCTAAAAATTGCTCTTTCACAATGTAATAAAAATTTTCCACTATTTTATTTGTTAAATTATGCCCTCAACATGTTAAACACCAGCTCTACTTTGCTGTGTAAAGGCAGGTTCCTAGAGATTGACATAGCATTAACCATGTTCATCAGGACCCCTTAAGTTTGCTTAACTATTCAAGAATTTGCTTCTGCTTATATCACTATCATTACATTTAATAACACTGCAATCAAAAATTATGCCAAGATATTTTTCTATTAAGCACACAACAATATATACTTATGATTATGTTACATGATATCATATATCTAAAAATAAAAATACATAGCTGACTTCTGTTAGTTTTTCTTAAGAATGCAGAGATTCATTTCATTCCCTCCCATTTTCTTAATACTAAATAGAAAATTCCAGAATCTGAAGATTTTGAACAGGCATATAACTTTCAAGTCTTTCCAAATCAGCTTATCAAAACAAAGGGTATATATATCCTTTCCCAAGTCTTATTCCAGAAATCATTCATTCATAAAGGCACTGATACTTTCATGACAGTTACTTTATGTCCAAATGTTTTTTTTTAAAGTAGCTGCAGGGTACTTACCATTTTCATGCAGTTTGGTAATTTATTACAGATGCAAAAGAATGACATTTGAAAACTGCAAAAAATAATGACATTTTCTAGTTATCTGAAACCCCACTGAAAATCAGCAAAAATATATTTATATAACCCAGGATATCACAAAAACAAAACAAAAAAACTTTGTGTAACCTAGGTATGCATGTAGCGTCCCCAAACAGCTTTTTACTTCTCTGGACAAAATGTGACTGCAGAATGTGATCTCTCCTGTGGAAATTTCAGCATTTTAAGATAGCAATGAATTGCATGCTGCAATCCACTGCCATCTTAAAATGCTGAAATTCCCATACTTTTGCTGAAATCACAGTCTTAGCTTTCCGCATGCATACAGAATCATGTGGCTTACTTAAAAGCATTCTGTGCCAACTCATTTTAGAATTTTGATACATGATGGCAGATTTGTGTCAAACTGACTTTTTTTTTTTTTTTTTTTTTAAATAGCAAAAACAGATCACTGTGTACTTGAGAAGAATAACAGTGCATACATCTGAGAAGTGTGTTTGAAGTGTTATTTGGGGAAAAAAAATAGGTGGCATCGGTCACATTCATGAGAGAATGTAAAGATACCTAAATACCTCTTCTAATGTTACAATAGAGTAAAAGCTACACTCTCTGAAACCCTCAGAAAATGCTGAATGCCAGATAAGTAAAAATTCTGGATAATTTAACAAAAATAATGTAGCTCATAGTAAAAGAGCCAAATGAATGGTAGAAAATTATAAAAACTGTGATCTTATTTGTTAGCAGCTGGAATATTAAAAGTCTAACATTATGTAAGATTTTGAAAAAAAAATGGATTTCAGACATAAAAGCTAGTCTATCTTTGTAGGCCTTAAACATACGAAAGTGAAAATTTTATTTGATTAGGACATTTCATTGACCATGAAAGTAAGCAGTAATCCCATCAAAATTGCACCAATCATTCACGCGGAAGATTGGAAAAGCTGACCACTCTTTGTTCAGTAGATAATCAAAAGATATAAGCTACAGATATAGCATATAAAAAACTTAAATCTTTTGTCATAATTTTGTAATTAATCTATTAACATGTATTATATAAATATAAACCCAAAACTGGAAAACTTCACACAAAGCAGAATGATTTAGCGGAGGCATTTTGGAACAAGGCAGTGTGTGCCATGCTGCCAACTCCTGCTGTACACAGCAGAAGCCTGAAAACCTGTTTTTGCTTGTGGAATGTTGCACACACTTTTTTTTTTTTAAATTTTATTTTAGTTGCTCGCATAGCAGGGAAGAAGGAAGATTCCATTGCACTTACATTTATCAAGCATTATGAATTGCACTCTTCCTAACTTCCAGATTTGATGCAGCTTATTATTTTGTTCAATCTAGTATCATTAATCTTACGAAAATTAAAGTAAACAATAGTGTCTCAGTTTTACTCTTCTTTGAAACTGTACACACATTCTTAAGCCAATACATACTGAAATTTACCAAGCAATGAAATGGCAATAAAGCAGCCTTTTTAAAATTGATGCAGCAGTAAGACAATTGAACAATTCTTGATATATTTTAATAAAAAAAATCTGCAATATCATTAAAATTTGTGTCAGCAAATATTAAAAAAAATTTCAGGCAAAATTTATAGTCAGCAACCAAATTTTATGACGATGACAGCAAAGAGTTTAAAGGTTTTTAGATATCACAAGCAAAATTTTCAAATTAATGAAATATGTGAAAAAATATACCAGATGAAGATATAATTGAAATCTTCTATTGCAATGGCAATGCCCCAAACATCAGTCAGTTAATACAGTGGCAAAATCTTTAGCATGGTTTTTAAATCCAGAAAATATTTTCACTTCGCCTTAGTGTCACATTTTATTTCATGGAGTGGTTCTTCAAATACAGTCTTTGTGCATAATCCTCTTTTTTAAAGAAATAAGTCAGCCATGCCATTTGCTCCTCTCTCGACAAATCCCACATCATAAACTACCCATTTCAGAAAAAAAAGAGAAGGGGAGGAAATATGATTACAAAAAGAAACCACTTAAGGAAAGGAAAAAAGGAAACCACTTACATTTTGCATCAGGAAAGAATCCAAACTGGTGATTCCTGCCACTAAGGAAATATGACAAAATAAAAAAATGCCAAGCAGTATGCTTTCAAGGAAAATAAACTTAAAATCTTTTGATTATTGGAATATGTGAGTAAATGCAAATACATGCTAAATGAAAATGAAGACTGAAGACTTTTATTAGGATAACAAAGCCCCAATCATCAAAGAGTTAACAAACAGTGAACTTTGTAATACGTTTAAAAATAGAGAAAATACTGCCACCAATCCTGAAGAAATTGGCAAAGAGGTTACAGAGAATGAAAATATTTCAATTGATTATTTAATCAGGGTTTGTACACATTTCTGGAAATGGAAAATAAAGTATTTTTACGGACTATCAATGAAAAAATTAAGGACCTATCAGCAAATGTGAAAGGAATAAATAAGAGCAATATCTATGCCTGAACTTTCCTTTCGTACAAGAAACCTAAGAACAAAAAAGTATGTAAGTAGGATACATTATTATTAAACATAACCTAATATTTAACATAACAATGAAAAAAAATTTGAGAATAAAATCAACTTTGTAAAACTTATCAATTAATTGGAGAAACATTTATAAAGTTTACATTTGAAAATATTTTAACCTCTTCTTGGTGGGATTTTTTTCCGAATTTCTGACCCCAAAAAAGCATTTTTTTTTATTGCTGAAAATTAATATATGTTCTATCCTAAATTAAAAAATGCAAATTATTTTTGACAGTAAGCAGTTTTTGATGGACCTACGGGTGGTCAAATATGTGATATCCTGTACACTGATCACCAGTTTTCTCTCTGCAGTACAACACAGTTTTAAATTTAAAAAAATATAATGTGATTTATTAACTCTATTGTTCTGATGTGTTTAATATAAATACTTACATAAAAATAATTATTAAAATTATGTAAAAAATGCTTTAGAAAATGAATTTCCAACCTTACTGTTAAAACAGCTTTACAACCTGCCTTGGACATCAGAGCATAAAACCCCCACTTATCACAAAACTAAAATCATTTACTTAATGAAGTGAAAAAAAAAATTTTTTTTCTGCTTATTTTATCTATAACAATTGGCTATAAATATAAAAAATATCTTGAATGTTTTTTTAGTTGAAATTCTAGCAGATATGCAGATATTCAAGGCGGGAAATCTCATTGCAAAAATTGTGAAGAAACTATGACTAGTCAAGCTATCTCTCAGCAATATTCAGAAATACAAAAATAATTTTGGAATTTGGGAAGACAATGAGCAGCAGAATTTAGGACCCGCAGCGATTGTATGAGGTGGTAAAATGCCTAGCACCAGCTCTATGTACAGTGCATTCAGACATACAAGATGAATCTTAAATTCTCAGGTTTCAGTTTCTTTATTAATAGAAAAATTCCTTTCTGCAGATGTTTGTTAATGTGACAAGATAAGAACCATTTTTGCAATTTTTCCATGCTTGTGTTTAGTGGAAAGAAGAGAAAAAAAAAGGAAAGATAAACATGGCAAAAAACATATTTTGAGGATCAAAAGCAGAAAATTCAAATAATTATGTTTGCACTGCTGTTTTAAAAAGCTCTTCAAAAATAAGGAATTCATCTCAAGCTTAATATAAAATATGTCCAAAACTTGTTACTATTACGAAGGCAATTTTCATTCTGTCATATTTTTCTGAAATCGAAGATCTATAAATATTGCTTCAAAGTCTTTCTAAACTTTCTGAAGCACTAAGTCTAAAATCCCAAAGAAAAATTATCTCTGCCAATTTAGTAAGAGTAAAAACCAGGTAGTTTAAGAGGGGAGGAAGAAGGAAAGTGTACAGTGAATTTTACAGAGAAAACTATTACACAATTGAATCTACTGAGACAATTACATGAGGGAAAATTCTTACCCCGACAAATGATATTAATTAAAAAATAAGGCTTTTTTGCTTTTCCTAAGAAGTGTTTTTAAAACTTTGCTTTTATATTATTTATTATTTAGACTCAATATATTCCTAACTAGTCAAAATGGAAAGTAATATTGCTTTATATTGTGACAGAGGAAGATTAAAATGTTTTATTTTAATGTTATTTCTTAAATATAATTCTAGTATACTATTATTTTCATATTTATCAGTGCTGTAAAAAATTATGTTGTTCACCAAAGTTTATGAATCTATTTATTAATGTTATGTCTGTGGAAAAAATTGTTGAAAATTTACAAATCTTCGAATAAAAAATTTTGTAGAAAAATTTATCTTAAAATTGACAAAATGTTGATAACATTGATGAATTTTATTACCATTTACTAAAAGATACCTCCTTGCAAAAGCAATTCATTTGGCCTCCCATTAACCAAGAGCATGCAAAATAGATAAATAAAATTTATACAAAAAGACAAAACATTACAATAACTACATAGAAATTGGAAAATAATAATAATAATAATAATTAGTCCTTGGATGTCAATCTGCATCAACTCTCTAGCTCGCCAATATCCACTGTACAGGTTTTCTTCTTTCAACGAGGAACATTTTAAAAAATAAAGAATTCATACCCCAAAAAGAGAAAAGTTGTTTTTGATATAATATTTTAAGAACTCTTCATTTACACACACAAAAAGGAAATAATTTTGAAATAACCACAACCCATCAAATATATATGAATGAATCACAAAAAAATGTTCCCCCATAATACTAAATCACACTCAGAAATGGCAGTCGTAAAACATGTCAAATGTCAGAAGAATAAAATTAAGGAAAATTTGCTGATTTTGGTTGAATATAAGTAGTTTTATGGACCAAAAATCATTTCAAAAAAACCTAAGGGCTATACGAACCACGTTTAATTTTAAATACAAGCAATTACAGAACTTAAACAATGAATTTTGTAACTGATCAAGAAATTATGTCTCTATAAAATTCAAAGAGAAAACATTAATACAAAACCCACAGTTTCTTAAACAATCAATAGAAAAGTTTACAAAACAAAAATTGACAAATTACAAAACAAAATTTTCTTTTACTTGAAATCATAAAAAGGGTTCATTGTTTCATAAACAACCATTTAGTGTTCCTAATTTAAATTTCTATATGTGATCTTACTAGATTTAAATTAACATCTAAAATTCAGAAATTCAAATTCTAAGAGTTCTGGAGCTCAGACTTTGTACTGCACTCCTATTTTGAACAACATATTTTAAATACATGGTTTTAACGTGCATCTTGAACTTCCATAAAACAATCTTGAAATTATGATAGTATACCTACCATAAAACTCTGTTATGTAATTAAACATGAATTCTATTACAAATATCACATTGCAGTTTTCCTAAATTTTATAATATTTTTGAAATTTTTTAACTGCAAACACTTTGAAGTATTAGATTATAAACTGAATTTTCACAGACTATAATTCTTCCTTCCAGCTTACTTTACTGTTAACATACAACACAGAAAATATAAATCTTACCGTTACGTGATCCGGAAGGTTGCTGATCAACAGCATCATTTTAATTTAATATAATAGTTAAATTTATAGGATGGCAACAATTATACATAGCAAATGTTAGGGCTATTACTAAACCTCATGTAATTTAAGAGTTAATTATATTTCAAAATGAGATGAATAGAATGGCAATTCCATCTAGAATGAAATAGCTTGCACTTCCTAATTTTCTGCAGTCCTTATGAAAAGTTGCCCACTCACTGGTGACATTGTGAATCAGAAAAAATAATTTGGCTATCTTTACATCTAATAGGTACTATTCTATTACTGAAAAATAAAAAAGGCATTTTAAATGGAGAAAAAATCTATATGGTTAGTATTTATATTTTTACAGTTGGTAAATCCTGTTTGGTTACATGCAAAGTACATGCACTCAAACATATGTGTAATCTGGCTATTGTCATGCATACTCGAAAACAACAAAAACACAGAAATTCAATTGAATGTTGAAACCAGGGATGCAGCTAATTAGACAATACCAATAATTTTATCATAGGTATTATTACATCAACGATTTGAAATATTACCGTGACAGGAATGAATCCATGCGTGGCAAGCTTTTACACACAGGAGATGCATTTTTTGGTTCACAGCTTCCAGATGTCTCTATAGAAGAAGGTGTTGAGGAACGAGAACTGGATACACCACTGTCTGCATATGCAGATTCAATCAAACTTTCTTTGGAAAACTGTCTGCCCAAAGATGTTTGATTTACATTTCTTCTCCTGGTGAAAGGCATGCAACTGTTCATAGACTCCATACCTTGCATCAATATATTAACAGGAATTCTTTTCATGTGAGGCAAATCAAGTGTAAAAGGTTGTGTGGTGTACAATGGCTGTTGTGCAGATGGCATGAAAGCTGTCAGATGATCAATTGTGAAGAAAGGAAAGTCGCCATATGTGAAAAGAAGTGGAGTTTTTAATTGATTGCTGATGAACCATGAAGCAGGATACGTGCTATGATACATAGCAAGACAAGATTTTAAATCCCTGGTAAAATTGAATACCACTAAAATAGGGCTTTCATCAAAAAAATATGCATACTGCCATTCTTGCTGCTTTATGCACTGTCAGTCAGTCTTGTACCCACAGAATATTTTGAAATATCTAGAAGAAAAATCATAATTAAAAAAAGAATTCAATAAAGTATGACTCACTTTTAAAAGTAAAAGAGTAGTGAATTCCAAAATCAACAATAAATATTTCAGAACAAAATGCATAAAATTAAGCATCAGCATAATCTAAATTTTGATTTTTGTATTGATAAGTAGATACCTCAATGATATAGTTATCATTAAATTAAAATGCAGAATAAAATATTGTCACTCTTCCTTATTCATGCTAAATACTGTCATTCTGGTGCGATTAAAAAGAGTTTATTTAAGTATTTAATTTTTTCATATTTTTTAAACTTGTCTTTAAGATAATCTTTTTTTAAATCTTATAATTTTTTAAATATTATAAGAATAAAAATTATACGATAAAAGCATGCAAAGAGATATAATATTATGTTGTAAAGACTATTTGTGTTTTGGGGAAAGAAACAATAAGAACCAATAACATCTTCATTGAAAATTGAACTAGGGATCTTTCAGCTGTAAGCTGGATATCCTAACCACTATATTACCAAGGAACAAGAGGAATGCTATTAATTCTTGCACTCCTTTTCCTTATATAAATGCATTTAAAAGGCAACTGGAAAGAGCAAGATCCAGTCTATCAAATCCAAGTGGTAGCATGTTACTGTATACTTAATTTTTGGCATTAAAAAATTAAAAACAGAATCTTTGTCAAGAATCAAATCACAGATCTTGCAGTTTCTAACTGGATATACTAATTCTACATTATGAAGACAAACACAGAAGGAATGTTAACAATTTCTTATGATGAATGTAAACAGAAAATGATTCCTTTTTCATTTATAACTGAATATGACAAAGCAAACAAAGGGGCTATCTAGCAAACAGAAAGGATTCTTTTGTGGAGAACTGTCTAAGGGAAACTGGCTTGTATTTACACTACTCATGAAGAAAATCTTTATAACATCCAAGAACTAGTAGCCTATACACTGGAATTCAAGCTGAAGTTGAACTACTAATGTTCAGCAGTTTTACCAACTCAGTCACTAGTGGGTCCCCCTTTTCCCCCAAAAAGATGTCATTGATTTAGGAATGTGTAATGTTTGGCAAGATGATTTTGTAAAGAGGAATAAGAGAATTATAACAGTAAAAACTAAAATAACAGTAAAAACTGCAAGTAACAACAGTAAGTTTATTGTTGACATTAAGTTTTAAGAGTAAGTTTGTTGCTGCAATCCCTATCATAAAGCAAATTTTTTTTTCAATAGAGTACCCCAGTTAAATAGACAAAAAATTGAAAATATTAAATATAGCACTATATATTCAGACAGGATGAAAAGGAGTAAAGAATCATGAAGTAAAGTTTTCATATTAATTTGATATAAATTTTGACAATTCTGATGGCTTTGAATATTATCACTTCATAAATAATTTTTCTAGAGTAGGTAGGTACATGTGTATGTGATAAATTTAACAGAACTGAAGTTAAAAGAATAGTTGAGATAATAAACAGAGGAGGGAGACAAGCTTATTGCTCTTTTTCTGACACAATTTTTACTCTAATGTAAAACTTTCAAGGCTTTCTTAATCTAAACCAGGGATGGCCAACCTGTGGCACGCATGCCACAGTATGGCATTTTTTAACAGTGGCACACAAAGACTAATTCAAAAATTAAAAGATCCAAAAAATAATAATACCATCTGTATGAACTCCATTGATAGATACACACATAAACACATTAGAATAAATATTATATTTCAATTTCTCTGCAAGATGCTAATTGTCACCCAACTCATCCAAATAAAAATTATTGACCTACAGCAGCATACTATCTACACTGAAAAGCAATATAAAGAACTTATTTCAACTGCAAGTGATCCAAATTATATTGAATTTTTGAAATTTATACCAATAAGCAATTTCCCAAATTTACAAGATTTGGCTGTCAGATATTGTTGTAGGTTTGGATCAACATATGTTTCCTATTACGGACATAATCAGGTATCAAGATTAACTGATATGCACCTGAAACACCTAATTTTGTTGGCATCTTCAAGAATCAATCCTAATATAGATAGCATGGTTTTAAACAAAAAAAAAAAAAAAAAAAAAAAAAAAAACACTACATATTCAAAAACCACACTATTTAAGTACTGACTGTTTAATAGTTATTTCTAATTAGATTTTTCATATTATTCATTTTTATTTTATACATAACCTGAGTGAACCTTTAAAAATGTTTATTAATAATAAATCTTTATTTTAGGTGTTTGTTTTATTTATTATATTATTTTAAAATTTATACTACTCAGACTTAAATAAAAAATGTGCTATTTGTGTAAAAATCCCATAATCAGATATAAATACTATTTGTTTCACCTTTTTATATTTTTTAGTATGTTGGAAAAGTTTGAAGTGAGCACACATTTTTTTCTTCCAGAAAGTAGCACTCTTCTCAAAAAGGTTGGCCAACCCTGGTCTAAACAATACACATTTAAACAAAGAGATAAAAAATATTACGAATTTTTCAACTGAAATTTGATGAAAGGAAACTTTAAAAAACTAATTATAAATTTTATTAAGAAAGACAAAATGAGTAATTAAAATTAGGAGGGAAAAAAACTTAATTAAATTTAAGCAGAACTTGGGAAATTTTTTATTAAAAAGGGAAAAAAATTAAATTGATCAAAATAATAATAAAAAAGAGTTTTATAAATAACAGAATGCATGAAATGTCTGTTAACAGCAAAATCACTAAAATGACATGTTTCTTAATACCAGTAGAATGAAAACGGACTAATAATATGGAAAAGAAACCATTTTTGCTTAGTGGAAAGATAAGATATGAAATCAGAAAAAATTAAACAGAAAAAAAAAAAAAAAAAAAAAAAAAAAAAAAAAATCTGATGAATTATACAGATGAAATAAAATTTATTGCAAATGTAAGAATATCAAAGAAAGAAAGGCAGTAAGAGACATTTTCATATTGAACAGGACTGAATGAGTTAATTGAACAGAAGAATCAAAATCATTCATTAATACATCATCTGTTAAATGGTCTTTAATATATAAAAAAAAACTGAAGATGTCATTTAGGCACCGAAATGCTTTTCATAACTAATCCCTTCATTTAATGACAGTAATTGTTCTGCAATCAATAATAAAAAAATTTTTTTACAGGCGGTTTTTTTCCCCCTCCTTAATTTAAAAATAATTGTTTTGGAAGATGAATTTAGATGACTTTTTAATGTGAGGAATTAATTCTTTAATTTTTTAGCATGACAGATTCTTGATATCTGGTTTTCAAGACATTTTTTAGTTCTACTGAAGTTAATAAAAAATTATACTCAGTACTGAGAGAAAATATAATTAGATCTCTATAAGAAATGTTCTTGAGTTCAACAAACTCAAGGGAAATTTTTGCATCCCATACACAGAAGAAAACTAATGAAGAAAATCGGAATACTAAAAATCTAACCTTACGATATGAGGCAAGTCCACACTTAATGGTGTTTTGTGACTTTGGGAAAGGGTAGTAAGACAAACTTGCATAATCGGAGATTTCTGAAGCAAAATGAAAAATATAAGAGGATTAAATGATGACTTTACAGCAAAATATGAGCATTCTGCTCCTTGAAAGACAGCAGATTCTCTTCAAATGTATAAGGCATCAGTGGATTCTGTATTACTCAGTGGATATAGTCTGCATTAGTGTATTCTGATGCTAAATGTGGGCACCAGAATATACTGAGATTATATTATATAAATGAAAACAGAACAAAGAGATATGATTGGGAAAAAAATAGGAAAATATTTCTCAGGGCTTATTTCTGCATTGGATGCTGGATGGGAAACACGTTGGCTATTTTCTTCTGTACATCGTAAAATGGCTGCCAATGGTAAGATTAAGTACGATTTGGAATAAATGGGAAAGAAAACATTGATTGACTGGTGTGTAAATGAAGATTTAAATGGCTTTATTCACCTCTCAGTAAATTACGTAGAGACATTTAAGGATTCAGAAACTGGAGCTCATATCAACACCGTGGAAGGTATGTGAGGTAAAATAAAATGGGATTTTTAAAAGAAATGCCACTATCAGTAAGAAGGGTATTTTTAATTTTGTGAATAATTAATGTGGCAACAGCAGTATACAGATTCTAGTTCACATAATTTTAAACAGGTTTTGGATGCTTCTAAGAAATTCTATGTGCAATGACAATGACAATCAATGACACAGAAATTTCTAAATAAGATAAGTCAATATTTCATTTTTGTACTGTACAGATGAGATAACATGTATTTCTATTTTTATGTTATTTCCTTATTTTATTTTGATTTAAAATGCAGTTTGTTGGAATTATATTTTTTTTTGTTTTAATTATATTTTATTGCATTATGTTTTGGATGCTATTTTACCTGTGAAGGCATTGCATAGCAATTCATCAATTTTAGTATGCATTCTTTTTGTTGTATTCCAAGTTAATATGGCTTTTATGGAAAAATTATGAATATTTTTTGAATTAAACTCAATTCTGAAATTTGTACTTGTGGGATTTTCCTATAACATAAGATACAGAGGTAAAATTTCTACAGGAATACAAGATAAGATTTGTTTGTAGCAAAGGAACTACATTTGGAATTTTCTCGTAATTAAAGAAATCACCATGAAATTTAACTTGATTTAAAAAAAAAAAAAAAAACTCTGGCAAGTAAGGTTATCGATTTTGTTAATAAATATGCAGTTAAAACATAAAATATGTATCTACATAATTGTTTACAATAACTCATTATTGTAACTCTTGTTAACCCTTTGTGGGGCAGTATATAAAATAAATTTTGATAAAATTTTACATAAACTATAACTTATGTACCCTAAGGACACAAATTGAGACTTAAAAAAAAGCTTTTGAACTTGATTTAAATTCAATATTGTTATTTTATTAAAAAAATTAGCAAATATGACACTGCATGCGTAAATTGCATCATGCTGTAACTGAACTAGTATAATATTACAAGAAGATATA